AGCTTTTGTCACTAAGCATGCAAAGATCGCTATGTACCCTTTATATGACCTAAAACCTCTGCCCCCTGACGTTTTTATTTGTAGTGGTCCTGCATAGTCGACACCGGAGTTGGAGAAAAGATGCGATGGGGTGACTCTTGGGGCTGGAAGGTCTCCCATTTGTTGCTCTGTTGTTTGGGCCTCAAATCGGATACATCTAATACAATACTTGATTGTATTTTTTACTGCATTTTTTCCAATTATGATCCAAAAGCTTTTACTGGTGTAATGTAAGCTGATTCCCACCATGTAGAGTGGTGAGATGGGCATCTGTGACTACGCATCTTATCAGGTGACTTCGATACGCCAAAATTTTAGTTGTGAGTGCTGAAGTCGACTTCCTACTCTCAAAACTCCATCATTGTCTAGAAACGGGTTGAGACTCAGAATTTTGCTCTTTGTTTGTAGTTGATTTTTCTTCTGGAGCGTTTTAATTTCTTTTTCGAAGTAGGTAACATTGCTGTTCCATTTTGACAATGTGTAACAGCGTGGTTGCCATTTCTCCGACAGTTAATTACGATGGATGCCTCTTTTTTCTGCATTTGTCCAGAAAACTTTTACAATAGCATATCACCCGGATCATTCTTTTTAGTGACGAGAATCTCTGAATGATGATGGCTGTGAAGCCAATTTTTTCTTCTTCAGTCGTCGCAGGAATGATCAGGAGGATTTCTTGTTACGCTATGTAACATTAACTATGATGGTCCATGCCAGCAGAGAGCGTATTTTTTTAGCTTTGATGGCTCTAGTCCTCTGGATATTACATTGGCATTACATGTTTGTTTATTTCAGAGACTTTATTGGCAACAAAATTTTCCCATCTTGATGGTTCTCCTTTCATCCATGCCAGTGTTATCATTGAGTCTGAGTAGGCATAGATTGGAACTTTCTCTAGCGATAAAGCTAATATAGTTCTTCTGATTAGTTTTGACAACAGAACTGCAGCACAAAGTTCAAGTCGTGGTAGTTGCCTTCATCCGTGCTGGAGAAACTTTGGATTTAGCAGTTAACAGAGTGACTTGGCTTTCATCTTTTGTATTTGTAAGTTTCATGTAGATGACTGCACCGTATGCTTTCTCTGATGCATCGCAAAATCCATGTATCTCAATGTTGCTTTGTTTCGATTGATGTGTCTATCTGGAAATTGTTAATTGTTTAACATTTTTTATTTCTGCTTGAAACTTCTTCCATTTGGTTTGTCCCATCTTAATTCTTGTAGCCATAATTCTTGAATGAGAAGTTTTGCTTTTATGATTACTGGAACTAGCCAGCCAAGCGGATTAAACAATTTAGCAACCTAGGAAAGGATATTTTGTTTCGTAATTTTGATATTTTCTGTTACTTCAGTTTTGAAACGGAAGGTATCGTCATGTGGTGCCCAGTGGATTTCAAGAGATTTTCTTGTTTCATCTTCTGTGATTTCTACGGAAGTTATATCTTTCAGTTCCTCTGGCAGAGCTTGTAGGAGTTGATTTCTGTTACTAGACCATTTTCGTAAAGTGGACCCGCCAGAGCGAAACATTTTGATTAGTTCAGCTTGAAGTTCCAATGCTTCTTCAATAATCTTCAATAGTATCTGCACCGGAAAGAAGGTCGTCTACATAGAAATCGACATTTTTTCAATGTCAGCTGTGATAACTATTCTGTATGATCTCCAACGTAAAAGAATATCCGAAAGCTCTTGCTGTAATTTGGGACCAGTGTAGTTACATTGTTTCGTTCAGGGTGGACCCAGAATGGATGCATCAAAGACTACTCGTAGCTTGGTCGTTGTACTTGATTCTTTTAAAACATGGTGATGAGGAATGTAGTATTTTGAAAATTCTGTATCTTTTTCATCGCAGATTTTCATGTGTCCCAGATCTAGGTAATCTTGCATAAATTATTTGTAGGTGAAGTCTAGTCTCTCGTCTCCTACGAGCTTTTTCTCTAATTGTATAAGTCTTGCTGCAGCTCTCTGTTTTGATATTTCCAGAGTTTGTTCTTTGCTATTGAATGATATTCTCACAGTGTAAGTACCATCTTTGTCTCTGGTTGTGTTTAGAGCATATTGTTCCTCACAGATCTCCTCAATCTTTAGTCATTTGTCTTGGTTGGGAGATTTCCTCTATTTCCTAGAGTTTGGTTAGCTGTAGATCTTCTTGAATGCCGGTTGTCACTGTTAGCACCTGGAGTTTTTTATCTTTGTTAATTCCAGAAAATATCCATCCGAATTTGGTGTTCTGTTCCAGTATGCCATCATTCGTTTTCCTGACGCCTTCAAGTAAAATCTGAGTGTATTCTTTGGAGCCCAAAATATTGTCAGTCGAACCAGGCTTCTGGAATTTAGAATCCGCTACAAGGTCATTGTTCCACTGAGATATATTGACATCTAATGGCTTTTCAGGTAATATCTGTATGAGTTTAGGTAGCACAAGGAACACGAAGTCCAACGAGAAGTTGCTTGGAAATCTTGGGTGGATTGTTGTGTCTATCTGTTATTTTGCTATCTAGAGGTCTCTTGTACCAAGACCTGATATCTCGACCCTAATCTTTTTTCTAGGTAGTGCAAGAAGGCATGCAGCTTCCTCTGTGATAAAAGATGACTTGGACCCGGAGTCGACTAGAACTCGTAAATTCTCGTAGTGATTTTGTCACTTTTGTTAATGCTGTAGCTAACAACACCATTTCATCTTTTCTACTAGCGTGGTTTGTAGTTTGCTCTTTGTTTCGGCTTCCACGATGATAAGAATGATTATCTCCTGCTGATTTTTTTGGTTGACTTTTATTTCGAGGGAAGTCTACATGAACATGGGTATGGTGAGCTTTATTGCTGATTTGGCATCGACCGGTGGAGGTGTATGTTATATTGTCATCATGATTGAGAAAATTAATACAGAGTTTCTTCTCCTTAACTGTGCTCAAGCGTTCAGAGGGAGATAAGGCTTGAAACTTGGTACAATTATATACTCCTGGACAAAATTATCGCACCACCACTGCACATAAGCACCATAAGCAGTGGTGCGATAATTTTGTCCAGGAGTATATAATATATGCGATGACTGCGAAAAATATTTGCATCTAGCATCTGTAATTTTGTTGGGTTTAACTGGTAAAATCTTCGGAGAATCTGAGATGTCTTCTTGTGATTGAAATCTTGCCTGTAGAAATCTTTTCATTTCGATAAAATTTTGTAATTTATGGGGATCTTTTAATGATTGTTCGTATAGTTTGTTTGTTTCGGAATCCCATTTCCGCTACTATGCGACTTATTATTGGACTCCATGATGCTGTGTCAATCTTGATGTTTTTCAGAGCTTCCAAACATTCGATGATGGTGTCATATGCAGCTGTTTTATTTTTGATGCTGATTCCTGCTGAATCGCAGGAATATCCAAGATTCTGTCTATTAATTTTGAGATGATAAGTTTTTCGTTGTTGTAACGATCGCTTAAGATTTGCCATGCTGTCTGATAGTTATTGTCTGAAATTTGGAGATGCTGGTATGAGTCTGGCTTCTCCTTGAATATGGGTTTTGAGGTACTGCATCTTCTCAATCTGCGTCAGATTTTTGTTTTCATGGTCTACTTTTCTGAAGATGTCTCGGAAAGTTACCCATTCTTCATACTGACCATCGAAAATTGGTAACTTTATCGGGGGAAGACTGATATTGCATAATTTTGGTGCTTGACTCGGAATATCCTGACATCGGATTTAGGATTCCAATCTTTCTAGAACATCTTCATATTTGAGCTCGATTTCTTCATAGGGACTCTTTCTGTTTCCCAATTTTTCTAACTCAATTTCTGTCTGTTCCCGGCTCTTGAAATTGTCGAAATAAAGAAAATTCAAAAGCCTGGAATAGAAAAAACATCAATTTCCACCACTTATCTACCAATTTTTTCCTAATTTTTCTTATTATTCATCTCTCTGATTAAATAAATTTAAGACAATGTTAAAAAAACTATTTAGGGGAAATCAGAATTGACGCATTTCAATTAATCAATTTAATACCTATATATATTAGGATTCTATTAGATAATTTCAATATTTATTATATAGCTACTACAGACATCTAGCGTTGAAACGCTTAGTTACCTGGTCCATCCATGTACTTATATATAAGAGCATTCTCTAGACGAAAGTCCACAAGCAAAGTGAATTCTCCTTTTTATAATAAACCTTAGATGGAGCTATAGGATGTTAACTTGTCTTATTTTCTTAAATATTGACCCCCGAGATGCCCCTACTTTAATCCTTTGGATTTTTATTTGTTGAGACAAATTGTATAATAATTATCAAATTACCGTTACTGGGATAAGAAATCTACCACACATTTTCATTTGGTTCAATAAATAAACTCTTCAGTTCGTCAATATCCATGCTTTTTAGCAGAAGAAAGACATTTTTAGCAATTTGAGTGATAATCAAAGAGAATTATTAGGAATTTGAGTCTCAGATAACATAAGCAATCAAGTAAGATGCGAAATTGAAAGTGACGAAATCTACTTCTTCTAGCCTTCTCAATATAATAATTATTTCTGATAGGTTATAGATATTTATTTGAATAATTTCGAAGATTATAAGACATCTGCTTCTTAAACTATTATGGTAGAATGTCAAGGGCAATAAAATAATCAATATTAATAAGCCTGGTATTTGACTAATTATTTTTAAAATTTTGAAATGAGCATCATCTACAAGGAATCTGGAATTTCCTGGACTACAAATGTTGAGTACATTTGGAGTTTATTTTTCCTTTTTTTGCTGTTTAAATGTCCATTCAGCATTCAGTTATTGATTAGTTGATTAGTTGCCACCTTCTCATATTGAAGTTAATAATTACATTGTCACATAATTCAACAAAAACCCGATGGCCATCCGTTTTTGAACAATAAAATTTAATACCAAGCTTTGCACAATTGCAGGCTGGAGGGGCAACAATTATTATTTTCATATATAAGCTGACGAAAATTTCTTTGAGGGAACATCAATTTTTCCAATTGTACATCAAAATGAAATTCGCGTTAGTTTTTTTGGGTTTATTTGTCGCGGTAATTTGTGCTCCACCTGGAGACCAAGTCCCTATAGTTTCTCAGGAAAGTGATATTCAACCTGACGGTAGTTTTAGATGGTCTTTTCAAACTGGAGATGGTACCAGACAAGAACAACAAGGACAGCCTAAACAAGTAAGTAACTTTTACCAAAATAATAAGTTTTTCCAATTTATGCAAATAAATAAAGAATAATAGAAATTACTTATAATTACCTATATGTTTTTATTTATGAAGATTACGAAATCGAAAAATTAAAATATCATAATGACTGAAGATGTCACAGTTTTTTCTGAAAGAAGGTCAACTGGTCTTGGCAAAGTAGTCTTAAAAAAATGATTTACGGACTAGGCTTGTTAAATTATGTATATCTTATTCAAAAAAACTAATAGGTAATTAGAATTAGTAAAAATGGCATATTATTGAAAAAGCCAAGCAAATCATCGCGCTATTGTCTCTAGTCCGCTTAATTTACATTCTTGTCATTTATGTCCTATTGAGAAGGCAGCTGTTGTCACACAGAGGGATTTTTTTGGTCCAAACACTCAAGAATAGAGGCCTTCTGGTCCTCAAAACATGAACAGGCGCAAGAGGCAAGGGCCATCAAAAAAATATGTCTAGAAAAGTTCAATACACAAAATTAAAAATACTCTTTTTTTACTCTCAACTTTATTTATAAGCAAAATTGTCAGAATTGCTGGCACAAAATTAGATTTTCTATTGCCCATAGGTCAAAGAAGTACAAAAACAACAAAAGTTGACTGAAAAACGTTTCCCCAGGATGGCTATTTTTCCACTTTTGGATAGGTACGTTTTCTGTAGATGTGTGACTGATATCCTTATAAAAAACATATTTGTCCCACATCTAATATATTTTTCTTTGGTACTAGATCGGCCAAGAGACAGCGATCGTTCTCCAGGGCGCGGCTTCCTGGAAAGATAACGAGGGCAAAGATCACCAACTGACCTACATAGCCGACGAAAATGGTTACCAGCCTCAAGGCTCCGACATACCTCAGATTCCTCCAGCTATTGCCAGAGCTTTGGAGTACAATGCCGCCCATCCTGAACAAGACCGTCAATAATAATATGAATAAGATATTATTTTGTATTTATTTATTTTTGTATTTTATTGTATATTATTATTTTTTTTTATATGTGATGAAGCAGAAACAATAAAGTTTTGATAGTGGACGCGTTATTTTCAGTTTCGTCCTTATATTTTCATTTATAGGTCAAAAAAACACTCTTCAGACGATCAATGTCAACGTTTCGATCTCTATGACATCATCCTCAGAACTATAGTAGTTCATCCTCGTTAAACTTGAACAACAATGATATAATGATAATAATCATGGAAATTGGAAAAAAATGTGTACTTAGTTTTTGATTAAATCTTTTATTTCTCTCTATATGGGCGATAATTGACCAAAAGTCGAGACAGGTTCAAATTTAACGAGGATGATCTATTATGTATAGTCCTGAGGATGATCTCATAGAGATCGAAACGTCGACAAAATATATTGTAACAGAATTCATGTGCGTCTCCGCCACGGTATCCAGAAAACATGCCAAAATTCCAGAATTGGACGGCTGATTGCTGATTCGAGATTTTACGTTGATGTTACGTGGTTATTCCGAAATTTACATGAATAGAATTACGGATATATAAAGGTCCATATTATTTTGGGTCACCAGAATAGTACAACTTGCAAAATATTCAATATTAAAGGCTTGAATCATTAACCAGTATTCAATGAGATAACCAAGATGCACTTGAATAGCAAACCGCTATGTTTTTCAGGAACCAATTCAATAATCAATTTTCAAGGTGCAGGGAAATAAGGCCGATTATTGGAATTCTCGAACCAGTTAACCAAATATCGAACTGTGACCTACCTACCTGATAAGCGACATTTTGTAAAACCGAAATTGGTTACAGACAACTTTGATGCAGACTTTGGAAAAATCATGGAAACACCTCGATTCAGATAAACTTCAAGAAGCCATAGATTTCATTTTAGAAGAAGCAGACGTATTTGTAATGTGTGTTATACCATTTTAACGTAATGCCTTTTGGATTGTGTAATGCTCCAGCTACGTTTGAGCGACTGATGCATCCTGTTTTGCGAAGCCTTACATGGATAGTTGCCTGGTATATTGAGATGATGTCATGATCATGGGAAATTCGTTCCAAGAACATCTCAATAACCTGAAAGAAGTTTTTGACCGCTTCCGGAATGCCAACTTGAAATTCAACCCAAATAAGTGTTTTCTATTTCAAAAGAAAGTGGAATTCTTAGGTCACGTGGTATTTGAAGATGGCATATAAGTTATGGGAGGAAAAATAGATGCTGTCAGGGATTGGCCAAAACCACGCGACAAACATGAACTAAGGAGTTTTCTAGGATTATGTTCTCATTATCGAAGATTTGTGGAAGGATTGGCCAATATAGCTGCTCCGCTCCATCGTTTAAAAGAAGAAAAGTCAACATTCAATTGGACCCAAGAATGCGATTCCGCATTTGGGTTAAATTTATGAATAATTCTTCTGAGTGCCTTTTTCCATAGATTTCGGCTTCAAATCCCAGAATAAAATCGTATTAAGCAATTTGGAGTGACTTATCAATTTTTAAATTTTTCTGAGTGCCCTTTTTCATAGAATCCGGCTCCAAAAATCAGAATACTTTAGTGTATTGAGTTTGAGGGATCCCGAATGATCATTTAGATACAAAATCTCAACATAAAAAAATTTTTCATTATTTTAGTAGGTACTAAGCTTAGTAGTACCATATGATTTAGATTTTTTTAAATTCTAAAAAACTTTTTTTCTATTACCCAGAGATAGAAACTCATCTTTGGTTGCGACAAACAAAACTGAACGATTTGGTTATTCTCTCTCTTGTATTTATAGATTCAATAATTTTGATTTTCATAAATGGCACATTTTTTCTTTTTAAATAAAATTTAAATGAATATTCATTTATTTTAGGAATTAATTAGTTGTTAATTAACCATTCAAAGGGTATTTAAAACAGAAAATCTCTTACATCTTCATTAGCCTCAACAATGAATTACTAAGTATAGGTTTAATAATCAATGAGCTTGTTAACATTTAAGAAATTCAAATTTTTTTTTTGGCCACAGCCAACCATTGCTTCATCTTCAAAGTATCAATTGCAATATAATAGCCAGGTCAACATAAATTCGAAAGAAACAGTTTACGAAATACCTTTAGTATAAAATAAAATGCAAAATATAAGTTGATGTTATTCATTTGATTACCGCTTTACAGAAATGTTTACCAAAATAATCCTTATTTCTTCTCTACTCGCTCTAGCCCATTCTCAAGCACAAATAGTTTACCAAAGCGAAGAGCACGGCCTCGATGGAAACTTCGAATGGAGCTACAAATCATCAGACGGTTCGAGTCAGCAACAAAGTGGCAACTTGAAACATGTGGGACAAGAAACTGCCGAAGTTATTCAAGGCTCAGCTTCGTGGGTCGATCCGGAAGGCAATCAGCATCAACTCAATTATGTTGCTGATGAAAATGGGTATCATCCGCAAAGTGCTGACTTGCCTGCAGCACCAGAAATACCAGCAGCTATTCTCAGGGCTTTAGATTGGATTGCTGCACATTCTCATGAAGGAAATCAAAAGTGAATGATTATTTGATTGTACTAGATTTATTTATAAAGACTGATGAAAATAGATTTTTGTTTTAAATATTATTTTGACATTTTCATTTTAAGTCTGTTGTAGGTACCTACTTATACCACTGCAACCTAAAATGGGCTTGAATTTTTTTCTAATTTCTAGGATTATTTTTTTATACATTTGACTTTTAGGTAGAGAGCTAATACATAAAAATGAGTTGAAACTGCGTGTCAGATGAATTTAAACTCTGTACCTAACTTGGTCTTCATTGAGGGCAGTTTTCTGAACCAGCTTTGAAAAAGATGTGAATAAACATGTAATGGTCATTACAAATATCCAATATCTTGTTAAGATTTCACCAAATTCACAATTTACTTTTCCCATTTGCGTAATTATTATAGCTACATGCGGATATGTTCTTCCACTCGAATAATAATAAATTTTAATTGGCATTTAATGTCAATACACACCTATTAGTATAGCATAAAAACCAATTTCATTAACATTTCCAACAAGTTCATTTGAATAAAAATTAGTAGAGATATTATATATTATTTGATCACTTTTTTTTTGAAATTCGAAAACTAATTTTGAGAAATTCCCAGTAAAAACAGAACTGGATTTTTTCCTGCTTAGGAGGCGTTGGACGTGAAATTGCCAAGAAACATTTTCGGTTTCTTTCTCCCTCTTTACCAGGTAGGGTATTTTGTTTTTCCGAAATTCGAAAAAAGTCAGCATCCAATTTTGAGGAATACCCAATGAAAAAGACTTCTGGAACTTTTCCTACCTTTGGGAAAATTGCCAAAAGAACCTTTCGGTTTCTTTTCCTGAAATATATTATAACATCAATTTTCTTGAAACTGAAAATAAAGATGAAGTTGAGTCATATGCAAGTAGAAACACTAGAAAGTTTCTCAATAGTAGGCAAGTTAAATTTTATGCTCAATAAAGTTGAGGCATTGTACTTTATCTAGAAACTTCCTTTTCTTGAAGGAAAGTTAAATTATTACATACAATGAGATTATTGTGAACTTTAGTGAAAAATTGACTAAGTAAGTAATATAAATTATTAATAATAATGCCACGCATATCGGGTTTTTTTTTTTAAATTTGTTCAAAAGTGTAGTCTACTTTTTTCAATTATTACCCTTATCCAATAATGGTTTCTTCGAGATAGAGAATCAAAAATGAAGCCAATTGTGCAACCTAAAAGCTCTAAATCTTAGTTTGCATCCCGAAAGATCATGAAAATTTACAAAACCCATTCAGTCTAAAAATTTAACACCAAACTAATAGAATTATTTCGTTTTCTTTACAATAAGGATGTTTGTTGCATAAGGCCTAACCCGCTTTAGCAAAAAACCGTAATAAAAATTAAAATTCGTTATATAAATCCTTGATTTTATTCTTTTAAATGTCAATGGGCGATTTTGGTGATGCATTTCTATGTAAATGACGCGGTCCATCAGGGAAGATTTGCATTGATATAAAAGCACAGGATTTTTTTTTAAACGACAGTATCGATCCACGGTCTTCATACTCTTATAAACAAAATAAAAATGTTGTCCAAAATCACATTATTGTCCGCCCTTGTGGCTGTAGCCCTTAGCGCTGCTGTACAGGAACCCGTACCAATCGTTTCTCAAACTAGTGACGTTCATCCAGATGGAAATTTCGAATGGGGCTACGAATCTGCTGATGGTTCTTCTCAACAACAATCTGGACATCTTGTAGGAGTGAGTACTTATTATTATTAACATTAAACATATTACAGAAAGAAAACTTCAGTCTTCTCCACTAATTTTAGTTTCTTTGTTGGAAAACTACTAAGGATTATATGAAATATATGAAAAATATATAAAATATATATTTATAGTAGCTTCCAGTCTTCTGAAGTTTCCTTTTTGTAATTTACAAAGCTCCACTGTAAGAAAATAGACTATTTTTTCAATTAACCATATTATCATTAACAAATCAATTCCCCTTTTAGACTGGAGATGCAGTAGGTGAAGCAGTCCAAGGATCCGCTTCTTGGGTCGATAACGAAGGTAACCAGCATCAACTTACCTACACTGCTGACGAAAACGGATACCAACCACAAAGTGCTGACTTGCCAGTCGCTCCTGAAATTCCTGCTGCGATCCTGAAATCTCTGGAATGGAATATGGCCCATCCAGAACCTGAACAACACTAATAATTGTTTAATGTAGAATAATAAATTGTCTTCCATCTTTTCTGTAAATAAAAAATATATCATTTCAATATATTTTTTAAAATCTGCTCTAAAACAATTGGGAAAAAGGGCAGAAAAGTTTCAAACTGCAAGCTCGCAACAAATTCATTTATCCATCCTTGGACAGTGTCTACCTGCTCTATCAGGTATATAATAATTAAGTATAACGTCACAGTCAGGTCTAACCTAGTTATTTTCACTTATATACTTTACACTCCAAGTCACTTGAAGTTGAGCAGGTCAGGAGTAAATGGTGCACCTTTGAAGTTTTGCACTTTTTTGAGATTTGTTCTCTTCGTACCGCAATTGCTCCGATTTTTTTGGAATTTCTCCCTGTGTGATCGGTAAACTGAATCAATTTTATTTGTCAAATGGGAAATTTCTCTCATTTCTCATGACCTATCAAAGGAAGTCGTCTCTGTTGCTGGTTCCAATAATACTTTGTCCTCTTCATTGCCGATCCAACAATTACCCAAATTTTGAAAAATCACATCTTCAATTGAATTGGGACTAGCTGACTTCACACATATAACCTCACTTTCGATTGGGGGACAAACATCGCGTTCAAGGACTATTTAAAAAAGTACGAAAATGTAAATAGGTATCGTTTGTTCGTCCCCATAACAGGTTTTTCCCTTTATTGAAAATGATTCTCGTCTCAGAGAGAACAAATTTATCTCGTTTAGTTTTCGATTACGTTGACAAGGATAAAACATTTCATCCTTGTTCCCCTCTATTCCCTGAGACGAGAATCCGGCCCCTGAGATGTGTGTGTAAATAGTCCTTAAATGCTCTTGATGTGTAAATAGTCCTTTTAAGTGCTCTTGATTGGATAAGTTTTACTTCCCCAAGACTATTTATTCACTCAAATCCAACCAAAGTAACCCAATCAAGAGCCGGCAATAATCAATAGTTGAATTTTGAATTTCTTATAAGATTCAGATTTTGATTATTCCTGGTTTTTGATTGGATAAGTTTTATTTTCTCGAAACTACTTACTCAAATTAAACCAAAATAACCTAATCAAGAGCCGGTAATAATCAAAGACTGAATTTTGAGTTTCCCATAAGATTCAGATTTTGATTATTCCTGGCTTTTGATTGGATAAGTGTTATTTCCTTGAAACTACTATATTGCGGTCTCCTCTCTCCTCTCTTTCTCTGTTATCGTGTTCTTTATTATATAGTAGGTATGTCCTAGTTTCCTTTCGACTGTATCATTATTTGTATCATATTGTCACTATTTATGTCATTCCCCAATTTCATTTTAGTAAGCGTTCTGCTTCTTTGCCATCTCGGACAATTGCACAATGGGTGTTCAGCCGTATCCCGTTCCTCACAATATCTACATTTCTTATTGGTCTTCCCTATACTGTGCGTGTATGTTTGAAAACTACCATGTCCTGATAGTGCCTGCGTCATAAAGTAATCTATGTGTCTGTGTTCACATTTACAACATTCTCCTATATCTGGTATCAATTTTTTCATCCACTGGGCCTTCGTTGTAATCTCACTCCATCTGGCTTGCCATTTCTCCATTGTTCCACCTTTCGCATCTTCTCTCGTCTCTTCAAGGTTTCCTGTTCCAGTTTGGTATATTTCCTCTCTTTCTTTTATGGCTAGGTCAATGGGAGTGACTCCAGATATTACTTGAATCGCCTGTGTAGAAATTGTCCTATATGCGGACGCTACTCTAATTAGTGCTTTTCTTTGTAGACTCTCCAGTTTTTTCCTGTACTTTTTAATGCTCATCATTTTTTCCACCCATATGGGCGCTCCGTTAAGTACTATCGCTGCATGGCATTATATAACAAGAGCCATTTTTCATATCTAGGACCCGCAATGTTTGGCATCAGCCTATTGAGTGAGGCCAGGCTTTTCCCTGCTTTTAGCATGATATTTTCCATAGGGCTTTCATTTCAAAACTTCCTACCCACGTTATCTGCGTAAAGAGGCCTATTTGTGGAAATTGCCGAAACACGTCTTGAAATTTATTGAGGGGGAAGATTTTTTACGTAAAACTGGGCTTCGCTTCTTCAACCCCCTAAGCCCTAGGGCTACCTCCCCAAAATTTTCAAATGAGACAGGGGGTCGAGTCATAGATTATTTTAAAGGGCTGTTTAATCTGTACGTTTTGCCGTTACATTTTTTGAATTTGACCTCAGTGTTACAGAATAACACCCATTTCAATGTTTAAAAATGCCTATTTATTTTTAAACACACCTGCTTCTTTACCCACCTTTTTATTACAGCAATAGGTAATTAAGCAGGTATGTTTAAGGTTAAATAGGCATTTTTTAACATTGAAATGGGTGTGTTTTTGCAACACTGAGGTCAAATTTGAAAAATAAGACGGCAAAATATACAGATTGAACAGCCCTTTAAAATAATCTATCACTCGAACCCCTGTCTCATTTGAAAATTTTGGAGAGGTAGTCCTAGGGCTTAGGAGGTTGAAGGGGCAAAGTCCAGTTTTACGTAAAAAACGTTCCCCCTCAATAAGTTTGTTGACGTATTCCGGCGTTTTCCGCGAATATGCCTCTTTACGCAGATAACGTGGTTGGCAAGTTTTGAAATGAAAGCCCTGTATGTTGTCTATAGTATAGGTTTTCTCCAATATGTATGCCTAGGTATTCAATTGACTTCGCTGGTCTTATCTGCACTTCCTCCATCTTAAAATATATTTGCTCCCTATTCCTTTTTCCGCTTAGGAGTACCGCTTCAGTTTTTTCCGGTGCCAGTTCCATGTGATTTTCCTGCATCCATATCTTCATTGCCCATCTGATCCTTTGCACTCGTTGATAGTGTGGTCGTACGCCCAGCATCTATAGCATCTTGTGAGTGCTATTCTTTCCTCCATTTTGGCCCTAGATAAGCCTACCCTAATGTATGGCTCTTCGAGGAGTTCTTCTGCCTTCTTTCGACACATCGTTAGTGTGATTGCCTGAGTGTATCCTGCATTGGGCCTTATATTACTCATATTATACTCGTCTTGCTCTAGCTTCCCAACGATCTTTTCTACCTCTGTAATAACCTCCTCTCTGGTTGCTGTAATGTCTAAACTCCTGATATGGATAGTCTCTTTACTTTCTCCGTTTGTCCTGACCCTCGCCTGCTGCCTCTTCAATAGCTCTTCTTACTTCTTTAATTGCCGTAACGTTGTTGTCCATAGTGATCAGTATTCTTCAATTTCTCGTCATTCTGATCGTCTTCATGGCTTTGCTATTTGTCTTTGAGCTTTTCTTTTATCGTATTGACAATCTGTGAGTAGGATTTCCCATTTTACGTCACCACCAGAGCCGGGGGTCTTTTGCGATTCCGTTGTGTTTTTATTTGTCCTCCATCCTGGCTTTTATTTACACCTATATATTGTCAAATGCGTGTTTCCGCCGTGGAAAACAGCTTCCACCATTTTCCCTAATCTGTCATTACTGCTACCTTCTAAGTGGTGTAGAGCAACCCACTCATCCTGCTTCGTTTCCACTTTCAGTCTAGCAAGTTTGGCCTTTTGCTGCATCCCTTAGCACAATTTTCACTATTTTTTGGTGGACTGCTGTCTCACTTTTGGTTTTCCATCTAGGATCGCAAAATCCTCATCAGTATCCCCGAGTTCGGGGTACCTGTTCTTAAAGATGGCCTCTATGCTCCTCTCCATGCTCAAATCTATTGGCTCAACCATGACCACCTTTACAGTTGATGTCTTTGTCCTAAGGTCCAGTTTCACAATTGGTAGTAACCGGTACTGGTCATCAAACCAATGGTTGCGAGTTAACTACAAGTTTACAGCATGAGTTTGACCAGCGGTTTTGGCTAAACCACACATTATGAAACAGATAAGTTTTGGTTAACCAATATCTTGTGGTTACCCTTGGATTACCACAGTTTGTGAAACTGATCATGATTTCCGTATTTGCGAAGAGGTTCAAATTTTGGTTCTTCCTGGCTTTTGATTGGATAAGTCTTATTTCCTAGAAACGACCCAATCAAATCAAACCAAACTAACCCAATCAAGAGCCTGTAATAATCAAAAGTTTAATTTTGAGTTACAAGATTTAAATTTTAATTGAATAGCTTTTATTTCTCCGAAACTATTCAGTGCCAGTCCCCCCATCGAAAGTGAGGTTATGTGTGAGACGTCAGCTAGTGCCTAATTCTATTAGGCAATCCAAATCACGTGACATTCAAGATGGCGTGGCAGCCACGCATGGGTCAAAAAACAAAACAAAAACTACTAGTTTCTGTCAGAATTATGGCCGTTTCCACCAACCATTTTAGGGAAGCCTTAACGATAAGTGCTCCTTAAAATGACATTTTCTCATCGGAAAATGTAAGTTTGAGGAATACTTATCGTTAAGGCTTCCCTAAAATGCTTGGTGGAAATGGGCATTAAGCAATTTGGGGTGATTTATCAATTTTTCAATTTTTCTGAGTGCCTTTTTTTATAGATTTCGGCTTCAAATCTGGGAATAACTTGGTGTATGGAGTTCGGGGAATATCAAATGACCATTAGGATACACAATCTCAACAAATTTTTTTTTGAAATTTCATCGTTTCAGTAAGAAGGTAGCCTTATGATTTAGATTTTGGAAAACTTTGAAAGGTCATACCATTTTTTCTATTATAGATAGAAAGCTGAAATTTTCAGCGATTCTTATTCGAGTAGAGGACTACAATCCCTGAAAATTTCAACTAATTTGGACTTATAGTTCCTGAGATAAAATCGTGTTAAGGAATTTGGGGTGATTTATCAATTTTTCAATTGTTCTGAGTGCCTTTTTCATAGATTTCGGCTTCAAATCTGGGAATAACTTGGTGTATGGAGTTCGGGGAATCCCAAGTGACCATTAGGACACACAATCTCAACAAAAAAAAAATTGAAATTTCATCGTTTTAGTAAGAAAGTAGCTACCTTATGATTTAGATTTTGGAAAACTTTTAAAAGTCATAACTTTTTTCTATTATATATAGAAAGCTGGAATTTTCAGCGATTCTTATTCCATTAGAGGACTACAATCCCTGAAAATTTCAACTGATTTGGACTTATAGTTCCTGAGATAAAATTGTGTTGAAGAGTTTACGTACCTATACTAGTAACAAATATTTTATTAAATAATGAAAACTCGAAGCAAAATAAGTAAAATATGCATAAAAACACATATTCAAAATAAACTTGCTTGGCCGCCACGCCATATTGAATTTTCATTTTGACAAATGGATTGGATTGTCTTATTATAGATAGGAAATTGAAATTACCAGAGAATATTATCCTGAGGTGCTTTCCAGTGACCCATTTGAGTTACTCCTGAGTAGCTCAGGAGTGCTCCACAATTGCTTTGCGTGTTCCAGTGCTTAGAGTGTCGTACACTTTAGCTACTCATTTCTGTTATTCCCTACTCCCTCGTGCACCAACCCTTTTGTCTGTGTTTCATGCTTCTGAAATCCGAAATGGTGGGGGTTAAGACGAGAGCGTTCCAGTGCTGCTTATGTTGAACAGTTCAAGAGCGTCACACTTCAGGAGCATGATACTCTAACAATTTAGGCACTGGAAAGCGGCTCTAGTAAAGAACAAGAAACCCTGGAAATGTCAGCTCATTAGGAGTTATGTATACTTACTGTGAGTATTTTCTGTAATCCCTCATACTTTGATTCTGAAAACTGAAAAGCTTCCGATGTTTTGATGCTTCGATTGCTTAGGTGTAATGTTCACGTTAATCCTGAGAAGTGATTACAGTAGACATTTCTAGTATTTAATGAAACAATAACCTCGTTCTTATAATTACACTTTGCTTGTATCAACTTTGAATATTTACAGCAATTTCTGAAACTCAGTGTGAAACTGGGTGACACTTATGGCGTTTCCGATTGGTAGATCTAGTGCGGAACTAGTGCAATTTTTTCTATTTCTGTCTTTTTCTTCTACAGGTCGATTGCGAGGATGCAAATACACTCAGTGCGCACTAAATCTACCAATCGGAAACGCCATTAATTTGGACTCTGCTGGTAAATACAAATTGCATTAAGGTTTATTTTTTCCCAAGATAGATTTTGACATTGTCAACTTTGAAACATAAACAATGCCGCTAATGCCGCTTATTGGTCGCCATTGTAAAACTGATGTCAACCTGCAGGAATACCTCATTTTGCGACCAATCAGGGTCAAGCGTTATTGTTTATGTTTCAAAGTTTTCAATGTCAAAATCTATCTTGGGAAAAAATAAAGTGTAGTTGAGTTTATAGCAACTTGGCAAAAATATATTTATATGAAACAAAACTTTATTTACAAAAACATCAACTACAACATTATTCAGAAAAATCGCTATCTATCTTGCAACTCTGCCTCAGTGTTGTTCAGGTTCTGGATGGGCCATATTCCATTCCACAGATTCTTGGATCGCGGCAGGGATTTCAGGAGCTACTGGCAAGTCAGCACTTTGCGGTTGGTATCCGTTTTCGTCAGCAGTGTAGGTAAGTTCATGCTTTTGACCTTCTTTGTCGACCCAGGCAGCGGATCCTTCGACAGCTTCACCTACAGCATCTCCAGACTGGAAAACTAGATGTTAAAAAAATTTTGAACAAAAAAAAAGTGTACTTACTCCTACGGGGTGTCCAGATTGATGTTGAGAAGTACCGTCATCAGATTCGAAGCCCCATTGGAAAGTTCCATCTGGATGAACGTCATTGCTTTGTGAAATGATTTGTACGGGTTCTTGTAGGGCAGCACCGAGTACTACGGCTACGAGAGCGGATAAAACTATGATTTTGGAGAACATGTTTGTTTGTGAAAGGAATGCGATCGATTGTGAAGATTCTTAAAAAATGGTTCCTTTTTTATACCATAAGTTTATAGACATTTGATAATTTGCATTTATTTCAAGGATTCATATTCCAATAAAAGTATTGTTAGATAGTATTAATTTATTCAAACCACTATTGGTAAAAAACATAAAAATATTCTGTTGAGTTTTTGATAAAATGTCAGTTATCTGAAATCAGCATAATATTGCTCTTGGAATTTAAGGGGCAATCTGTATAAATTATGTTATCGTCGAAGCCCTGTGCAGTCCCAAAGTTCAGAATGTTAAAAACTCTTGTTTTGACTTTGCAAAGGAAACTGAATTATTAAACCCATTTGAAAAAAAAAAATTGTTGTTTTCTTGGGAAATGCACTTGAGACCTATAACTACGTACCTACTCATTTTTATTTCAGATTGGATTCTAGATTTATATAAGTTGAAACATTGATTAACCTGGCGAATCTAGGGTAGGTACCTACATAAAAAAAAAATGATACACCAAACTAGTAAAAAATAATAAAAAAAAATTGTATATTAACAGAACACACGCGTGATAATAAATACCACAGCCAGCCTTATAAAATAATAATTATTACGACATTGAGTATTTAAGTATCCAAAAAGAAAAAGAATGTTATTTAAATAAGATGAGCATTATCAAATCTATTTTTCTCCGTCCTGTTCGGGATGGGCGGCATTGTATTCTAGGGCCCTCTGGATTGCAGCTGGAATTTCCGGAGCCACTGGAATGTCCGGACTTTGTGGCTGGTATCCATTTTCGTCAGCTACGTAAGTCAGCTGATGCTGACCACCTTGGTCGTCGGTCCAGGAAGCGGATCCTTGGATAACTACTGGAGTTTCTTTGTCAATCTAGAGGAAGAAGGAAATAAAACAAAAAACATAATACATATTATACAAAAAGGAAATTTCAAAGGCGAATAGAAAAGATACATGAACAATATGATAACATACAACTGTGGCAGACAGAAAAATTTAAAATAAACTCGAATAAAAATCACTTTTTGAGCAAACAATATAAAAGTAAAACAGTATCAGAAAAACTACAGTTTTCCAGTAATGGAGACTTAGATAATAATTTTCAATTCTATAAAAAGTTACACAAAGGAAATAGAAAAAAAAAAATTAATTTGTCGAATAACAAACAAAACATTTAACTTGAAAGAACAAAAGTAACTTATTTTAGATTTTTTTTTAAAGTTAACTTTATATTAGGTATATTTATTTATAGGTATAAAAAAATGTGTACCTGTTTAGGTTGTCCGCTAGCTTCTGCTTTAGTACCATCGCCACCTTCAAAAGACCATTTAAAAGAACCATCGGGCTGTATGTCACTTTCCTGCGAAATGATGGGTACTTCCTTGCCCTGCGGTTTTTGCTGAGGGGCACCCAAAACTGTAGCACTTACGGCCCAAATAAACACGAACGCGACTTTACTAGAGATCATCCTCGTATGAAATTTGGCTTTTAAATAATAGAAGAAGTAATTGCTACACGTACTGGTTTATTGCACAAAAGGTGATGCGCTTATATATGAAATAATAGTAATTTGTGAGCCCCCTCTGCACCTGGGTAGAGCCTAGATGATAGGAATAAGGATGCCGTAATGATACATGTGCTGATTTGTACATACAGGGTGTTCGCGGTTGAAAGGTCGCCCGTCGACCCGAAAAACTATTGCGAGATTCTTTTGTTTAGGTATTTGATTTTGTGAATGATCTTTTGGCGCTTATAATATTGGCAAATTTTGGTGGTAATGATTAATTTGATTTTCTTTTCTATTGCTACAAGATAATTTGTTATTAGAAACTTTTAAATGTTATGTGTCCTAAATAATTTCAAACAGAAATGTTTGATCAATGTTTGCATTATAGCTGATTAGACAGAAAATGCATCATATAAATGATTTTGTTGAATATAGTTTGAAAATAAATTTTCAAAAAATTGATTTTATGGAGAACTCTTGTGAAATATGGAAAAGTTACTGAGAAGAAAAAATTCGCATAAATTTTTTTTTTTCTTTCCATAATTTGTGAGTTTCTTCTGTGAGTGTACATTTTTTCTGCAATAACACATTTTACAAAAATAGATGAAGATTTCTTATATAGTTTTTCGAACTTTTAAAATGTCAAGGATAGGTACTATGTATTGATAATGATACACATTTATTGCAATAGTTTACCAAAAAATATAAAGAAAAATCAATGAAAATTGATTTCCAGAAAGTCTTGAAGCCTTTTTTTGAAACTTTTATGAAACACTTTTAGATCATTGATATGGTTTTTGGTGTTAAGTATTTTCTGTTAAAACTATCTGAATTTTATTGAGAGGAGATCACATCTATAAATTCAAAATGGTCTAGTTTTTCTTAAAACTCTTAATTTTTCTTAAATTTCCTCTTTCTCATTCTCAATTTTCGTCTATTTCCGGCTCTGGAAATTTTGCTTTTTTTCAGATTTCTATAAGTTTATAAAATTCAAGGATTTCAACAGTGCGGAAGCGCATCATTGTGGTTAAAACGACCTCCTTGACATAAGTATCATGCGTCAAACATAAAATTACTTCCAAAGCCCTAGTTGGTGTGATTTTCATTGCACCAGTTATGTTGAGGCATGTCATTCTTTGAACGTGGTCTAGGTTTAGGCTTATAGCAGTATGTTCGGCCTTAAGTCCCCAGACATAGGTATTTCAGCATATGCCTGATGATGGTTGTATAGATCCACATAATTACCTTGGGGAGGGGGGGGGGGAACCCCCAGGTTTTACCGATAGTACGTCGACACTGTTCATAGGCAATATATACTTTATGTATTCTCTTAGCAATATGAGAGTTCCATGTTAGTTGGCAATCGAATGTCACTCCCCAATATTTGACCTCGGCGACAAAACTCACTGGGTGCTGTCGGAAGTACCAGTTTCCTCTTTCTTGTGAATAGGACTATTTCAGTGTTTTTGGGGTTAATGAACAGAGTATATTCCGTGCACCATCTTTCTATAATTCGAAGAGCATGGCTGCATGCGTTCGCAAAGCGAGTTCTCGAATTTACCTCTATGCAAGATGACTACGTCATCTGCGAAGCTATTGTGTAGAGGTTGTCATTGTTTAGGCAGACAATGAGGCTGTCCAGAGAACCATATATATTCCACAGGAGAGGTTATAGCACACCTTCCTGCGAACAGCCTTGAGTTGGTACCCATAAAGGTTCCAGTCCTCAGGTAGTTTGGTGTTTTTAGCTTTATTGAAAGCTTTTCTTGTCGTCGTCCTGAGGTGTTCCAGTTTCTGACACCAGTGACACCACCAAGCAAAGGTGTTACCAGAGTTTTGGAACATCCTCAGTGGCCTCGATATCTTATAGGATTTTATGATGGCACCTTGGATGGTATTGGCATACCGCTCCAATTCTTGGTCATCATTGGGTGTTTTAACTGCAACCTCTCGTAGAGCCCTTCCCAGACTTTGCACGTACTGTGCAATATTGGTTTTTCTTGGGTCACGATAAGGTCTTGTGGTTTGAGGCGAGCATTTCGAAGATATTTTATTAAAACACTAGTGCCCTCAAGGTCCCCGTTTTTTTTTGTCATTGCTTTTGTATTATTCTCAAAAATTTTCAAAAATTGACCTTTTAACTTCTGCAACTTTCATCAAGTTCAAGGATACCCTGCAGACCAAAAACACACGAAAAATATATTTTTATAAACAAAACAAAAAAAGTTACAGAAGTCAAAAAGGTCCATTTTTGAAAATTCTAAGGTACAAGTGTATTAATAAAATATCTGCGAAATGGACCTATCTATACGCCTACCAATTTTGGCTAACCCTCCGCCAAACACCCTGTATAATCACACAGAATACGGTCGTGCGGAGTAATTTGTTAGCTGCATCATTTTTGCTTATTTTAGGTGTTAAAAGTTTTCAAAAATTACGGTGTTTTCTGTCTTTTTATTGCAAATTTTTTAGGTATGCTGATAACCAAAAAAAATAAGTATAAATGATTTACGTAGTGTCTTGTAAATTAAAAAGACTAATACTTAGTTTAGTGCTAAACTAAACAAACATTCCAAAGGAAAAAAAAAAGTAGATTATACCACGAGTCAATAATGATAGCTATTATTCCCGAGGATTATTACGAACTGAGCCGCGTTAGCGACGAGGGAGTAACATTCCGAGGGAATAATAGCCATTATTGCGAGTAGTATACTCTACTTTATTTACGACAAATTAATTTATTTGAGATTTTCAATGAATAAATTTCACCCGTCTCATAATTTTCAATACAAATCCACAAGCACTACACGTTTGACACTGACACTTTTGTGGAATAATGACCATTAATCCCGCTACTCGTCATTAATCCCTGGAGGAATAACATATGTCATTATACTGCCAAAATCACAAATATAATACGCACATTATACATTAGTCGTAAATAAACTACCTTATCGACAATCGCGCTTGTCGGTGTTTTAATGAATCGTCCTGAAAATACCTGATGTGCACTTCAAAAACTATAAAATAAAATTTCGTATCACATAACAATATCATTATATTGTTATGTGAGAATGCTAAATTTAAATGTTGCAACAAAGATTTGAAATTTTTTTGTCGGCATTGTATGCACAGAAATTCATCAACAGAGCTGTGTGGTTCGCTGAAATTCGGTTAAAGTGATAGGAGGCCATCGCATTTTATGTTCAAAAAAGTGTGAGCAAGAGCAAGATTACCAAAATGCTTCCGAATTGTCTCTGCAACAGAAGTTTCAGGAATCAGAAAAGGAACTTCAGCGCGCTAAAGAAGCACTGGAAAGTTTTCACTACAGCTATCTTCAAAAGATGAGACATTGAAAAACCAAAACCTAGAGCTAGTTCAACAGTTCGATGCCAAAGAAAAATTCCTGCGTAGAGAGATGCGAAAATCACAGAGCTTTCATGACGATGCTTTGCAATTAGAGAAGGAATATCAGGCGAAGATCAGTCAACAGCGGGAGGTTATTTATAGGCTTAATCAGGAGTTGCTCTCACAGAATGAAGCCTCTAGGATACACCAAGAGGAGCTTCACCTATTTCGCGTAACCAACTCTCTTAAGGGATTACTACTAAATAAGACAATACTTCTTAATTCACCGTTCTGCTACCATTCTCCAGCTCTCTCGGAGTCATACTCCCAGCCCGCTCGTTTATTTACATAATCATTTTATAAACAGGTTTTTATTCATGAATCATAATGCTACAGCCACTTCCTTTTTTCCGAACAATTTCCTTAATTTTAAATAATATAACTTATATTTATATGTGAATAATGATTATACTTCAGAGTAAATACATACAGGAGAACAATATTATTAACACATTTTTCCACTTTTTATAGAGCTAATTACTCTTAGCCTAGCTACTAGAACAATAACTTAACAGCTAACTTATCATATTATAATAACTAACAATATATTATATAAATTCTAATCATATCAGAACAATTTATCAACTACCAGAGCTGGGCAAAATACTTTCAAAAAGTATTTAAATACTAAATACTAAATACCTAATAAAGACTGAAAGTATTTAAATACTAAATACTATTTGACTTGAAAAGAAATAAATACTAAATACAAAAAGTATTTAAATACTTATTTAAGTATTTAAATACTTTTTAAGTATTTAAGTACTTTAAAAAGTATTTAAATACTTTAAAAAGTATTTAAATACTTTTATTAGGCAAATACCTTATTCAAAAACTTCAAATAGTACATTTCGTCACTAGTGCGAATAGACGGGCAGACGGTCTTTTTCAAACGAGGGCAATGATTTTGGAACGAGTCGTAGCTCGTAGCAGATGGAGCCATCGGCGGAGGAGAGTTTAAAAAAAAGGCGTCCATTCGCACTTTTTCTTTGAACCAACACAACTATAGGTACTTATTAACAACATCTTCTACTTTACCTTTTTACCTTTTTGCTTTGATACCTACATTTTCAGTTTTTACTAACTTTGGTAGATCTCTATCAAAAATTAGCATTTTTTTAAGAATGTGGTTTACTTTCTAATTTTTATTTATAGACAAAAATCCCGCCGTATTAGAAATGCATCTAAAATAAACCTAACCTTGACCATCTCCTGAAGAACCAAAATTACAATCAAGTTTTAAGATGACAACAACAATGACCAAAATTCTAATATAAAAACCCACCGAATTCAACTATCATCACTAGTTCATCAAGCTGAAACATATTAACATGCTCTCAAAAGTAATCGTACTATCCGCCCTTGTGGCTGTAGTTTACAGCGCAGCTGTAGACGTTGTTCCGGTTGTAGCACAAAACTCTGACATTTTTCCTGACGGCAAATACCAGTACAACTACGAATCCGGAGACGGCAGCAAACAGGAACAACACGGAGTACCAAAACCAGTCGACAAAGACAATGTTATTGAAGCTGTAGAAGGTTCCGTATCCTATACCGACCCAGATGGTGGCCATCACGATTTGACTTATGTAGCTGACGAAAACGGATACCAGCCACAAGGAGATGATGTTCCAAAAATTCCAGAAGCAATTGCAAGAGCTTTGCAATACATTGCCGAACATCCAGAACATATGGAAATGGAAAAACATTAATTTTGTTGATGATTTTATAGTACAATATGACTGCCGCTTGTAATTATAAGATTGAATTTTACTTTTGCGTTTCGTTTTTTTTTTTTTTTTTTTTCACCACAATCATTGCCATTAGCAGAAAGAAAAAAAAATCTATCATTAAACAACCGATTAACATTTTCCGTGCATCGCACTTTTTTATTATTGTTCGCGGTAATAATGGCAATTTATATAAAATACCAAATATTCGATAAATAAATTGAAGTGTCCTTGATGATCGGAGAAATGCGAAGATGCAAGCAGTAGGTGGAAGTACCACCGTTTGGCATTGCTCAACTCGACATTCTGTAGTATTATACAGAGTGTGAAAAACCTGACTGGTAAAGGTCAGTAGGTACCTAATTACTTTACTTTGATAAATTTTGGAAAAATCAAGTAGCTATTTGTTTTATGCAATTTTTTTTTAAAAGATGGTCTTTGAAAAGTTTAAATTTTCCTCGTGGGACTAGATGAATATGTTCCTACTGAGTATAGTTATAGTATTTTCCTACTTTGCCTTGCACCCAGGTAAATTCAAAAAAATGGAAAGTTTTTGAAAATAGATCTTAAACACTGTTTAGAATTCACGTAATTTGATAGGCTTACACCAATTCAAAGGCAAAGTTCTTGAGAATATTAAACAAAAATGTATAAAAATAGATAAAATATTATCTACTAGACTATCTATACAGACCTTATTTATCATGATTGGTTGTGGAAGTAATTCACAGTCTTTTCTACCCCACTGCTTTTTTCTCAAACATTTTGGCTTCAAATCTCATAAGTACCTCCTATAGTACTGTTTTTTCTGCTTGGTCACAAAATCTGCTAGATCTAGGTACCCTTAATGAGCCTTAAAAGGACACTTGCATTGTTCATGACTGTCTGGTGTGATATTTTTCCATCTTTAGATGCCATCAAGATCTTCAAGGGAGTGAGAATATTGTACCTATTACATTTTTCATATGGGTAGAATCGAGAGATCAGGATATTAAAGAATTGCAAATCCAGTTGGATAGGTCCTAACTTCCAAGTAAGTAGGCTGGCTGCCAACTTACTTGGTCCAAGTTCTCATCCAGTTGCACTTGGACCGCCCCAACAGGACTTAAGTATAGGTTAGCTTCTGCATTGTAAACAAACCACAAATTATGCTTATCATAATTTTACTCAAATTTATAGTTAAACAATAAGAATCTTGTGCTATTTCGAGTGCTGAGAGTATATTCTACATAACTTATTTGATAGAAACAATTAAATAATCCAAGGATTGCTGAAACAAAACTGGTTGTGATTTTGAGGTTATGTAGAACATAAATTATGCCTAATCCAGTGTGCAATACATACAGAAAAGAAGTGCTTCCAGATAGTGATTATGCTGCTCGCGATAGTTGCCGCTGTGTAACCCTACTTAATAAAGAATGCAGTCAGCTGTCTGCATCGGAAATAAGAGCTGTTGCTCATGTTTTAATGTACTTCTGCGATGAATTTAAATCGATTCCACTGATGATTAGAAACTTCCAAAGCATGCAGGCTGAAATTACATCCCTTAAGGAAAGTTTTAACACACTTCAGGAAGAGAATCGCAAAACGAATGAACAAGTTAATTCTTTATCACATTAAAACTCTGGAACAGAATCTAGTGACTTCAACTAAAACACTGGAGCAAAAAATTATCGTGCTTACATCAAGTTCCTCAAGCAATACTAACATATCCTGCCTTTCGAACTCGGCTGATACTGAGACTTTTTGGCAAGAAATTCAAGACCGTCAATCCAGAGCCAAAAATGTCATGCTATTCAACGTGCCTGAAAGAAACGATGATGAAAATGATATAGCAACCCTGCTTGGCAGCTTAACTAACTCACCTCCAACTTTAGAATGCTTCTCCAGAGTTGGGGAAAAAAACATCAAAGGTGCACGAGCAGTAAGAATTACCATAAAACCTACAAATGATGTGCGGTCGCTTATACGCTACCGTAGTAAGCTCAATTTACATGAACCTTGATCTGACTGGAAAACAGCTTGAAATTGAAAAGAAAATACGCTCAGAATTGAAACAACTAAAGTCAAAGGGTGAATTATCCCCTAAAATTAAATATATTAAGGGCATTTTCCAAATTATCTCTGATATAGATGAAGAAAACTAGTAGATGACGGACATAAGCCCACATTATTAAAATCAATAAAAAAACTTCACATATATTACCAGAATGTTCAAGGATTAAGAACATCGTTGACATTACTAACTTGCAACTCTTCAATAAATTATTACGATTTAATTATGCTTACTGAAACCTATATATCAAACACCATATCCAATGCTGAATTGGGACTGGACAACTACATTGGGTACATTCAGGCGGTGCAAGCGACTAAGCTCAGCCACTCAGCAGGGACTTTATTCTCGAAACCGAGGTATTGCCGTGTCCTTGTCAATGTTATGGAAATATGGATACGGACGACGAAGACAGAACCTTCGTTCTCATGAGAACGCTGCTCCCCTGTTCCGAGAATAAAGTTCCTGCTGAGTGGCTGAACTTAGCCGCTGGTACCGCCTGAATGTACCCATTGTCTTCAGAAAAGACCGATCCACTGAAACCAGCACAAATAAATCAATGGGAGGCACCTTGATTGCTGTTCACAAGTCACTGCCTTGCTATGTTGTTCCTACAAATCCAGAGCTGGAACAAATATTTGTATGTGTTGGACAAAGTAAAGCAGAATACACATTTGGATGCTTATACATTCCTCCAAACTTCCCAAATACCATCACCTACCTGATGGTAAGTGAATCCATTGATTTTATTTGAAACAAATATCCTAGTGCTGAGTTTTACATTGCTGGTGATTTCAATCTACCACGAATTGAATGGAACCTTATCGAAAATTGCTCCGTTGCTCTACCTCGGACTGATCTCTACATTTCAGCTCAAACCATTGACTCTATTGGTACAGTGTCAGATATGTGCGCATATAATAATCTTTTCCAATTAAATCGTGTTTTTAATTTTAACAATGTCATATTAGATTTAGTGCTTTCATAAAAAGTTTTTGATGTACAGCAATGTGACCCACTAGTGAAAATAGAGAAACATCACCCACCTCTATATTTTTACCTTGAATAGTCACATAACAAAATAAACTCTATCAGTCCGCAAGCAGAAACTTTCTCTCATTACTTCAAATCCGTTGAATATACTCTTGTTAACAACTATCTGGGTTCCTTAATTTTGATGAGATTTTCTCTAGCTTAAACATACAAGATATGGTACAGAAATTTCATGATATCCTTGACAGTGCAATAAACCTTTTTGTTCCTCTCAAAAAAGGTGCTAGTAGGATATTTCCAAAATGGTTTACACAAGAACTCATTACTTTAACTATTGAGAAAAAAATTGTCCACAAAAACTTTCGCTCTTCACCATCTCAACAAAATTATCAATCATTTTCTAAATTGCGCACTCTATGCAAGTCCCTATCTCAGCAATGCTACAAAAATTATGTCCAAGATATTCAAGTCTCTCTCAACAATGATCCAAAACAGTTTTGGAAATATATAAACTCTAAAATCAACTCTCATAGCCTACCCTCCAACATCTCCCTTGACAATGTAACATGTGAAATGGGTGTGAATGCAGCCAACCTTTTTGCAAACTACTTCGGATCAGTATACTCTCAAAATTAACCAAAATTTTCTAAAGGAACCTCCCTAAATAATATCAATATACCATCTTATGCTATTTCAATATCTGACATATATTCTGAGCTATCCAACCCAAATACCTTCAAGGATCCTGGTCCGGATAAAATTCACCTTATTCTTCTTAGAAATTGCCCTTTTATACTTGCCAGACCTCTGCAAATTATATCTAACAAGTCTCTAAACTCTAGTCATTTTCCAGACGTCTGGAAATCTAGTTATGTCACTCCCATCTTCAAATCAACAAGACAGTGGAGACGTGAAGAATTACAGGCTCATTAGTATTATGAGCACAATTCCCAAGATATTTGAAAAATTTGAAACAAATTATTTAACATCAGTACTCTCACCTTTACAATACAATAAAGGTTTCCTCAGGAGTCGCCCAAGGTTCCCATTTAGCACCACTGCTCTTCAATTGCTTCATAAATCCGGATCACGCTTTAAACACAGTGATCATGAGCCCTTTGAAACATTCAAAAGTGATCTCCGACAGACAGAGACAGCTTCTTGCTACAGAATGAACGTAATGAGTTTGTACAGTGGTGCAAGACAAATGGAATGGAGCTAAATGTATCAAAATGTAAGCTAATGATCTTTTCTCGCAATGGCTCTAAAACAACCTTTAATTACACCATTGACGGAAATTTACTTTTGATGGTTGAAATAATAACTGATCTCGGCATAGTTCTTGACCCAAAACTATCCTACACTGACCATATTACTTTCATAGTAAATAAATTGCTTAGAATGTTAAGATTCCTAAAACGAAATACTAAAGATTTTAACTCAATCCATTGTCTCAAAATTCTTTATTGCAGTCTAGTCAGGTCACACTTAGAATATGCATCATCTATTTGGAATCCTTTCTACGAAATACATACCACAAGAAGAGAGGGTATACAGAGAAGATTCCTTCGCTACATTACTTATAAATTTTTCCATAATGAGTTAAGCTATGAAGCTCTGCACCGGAGATTAAATTTGCAAACTTTATCCACCAGGAGAAGTCTCAGGGATCTATTTTTGCTTTTTAAATTAAGTAACTCTATAGTGGATTGCGCTCACCTAAGATGCATGGTCAACCTTCATGTTCCCCATTTCAACACAAGAAATCGTCAAACTTTTCATATTCCTTTTTTCCGCACAAATTATGGCAAAAACTCATTTTTCCCACGAACTATGACTATTGCCAATCAAAATACCAATCAAGAATTCAAAAAATAAAAGAAGTTCTTAGATATCAACATAGGCCAATAAGGAATTTTCTGATCTCTTTGGTTTTTTGAAGTGACGAATGTCTGCTAGTAGAATAATGAATAAAGACCAGTTTGTGAAGTGTCTCTAAAATGTTGATACCAAACAGGTCTTGGAGAGAGGATCTTTGCAAGAGCAAGCAATAATAATCACTCGAAAAAATTTGATTGAGTCCACCAAAAGGTACCAAAAATTGTATCATTTGATCTAAATCCCATAGAATACTGCACTAAATTGGGACAAAATTAGTTACTGCAGGTGCAATCTAGATCTAAACAGGGAAATTTGGGCAAAGACTCCAACTTATGCCAGAAGTTAGGGAGAATTATAAATAGAACAATCTAGTTAATCTAGATACCAAGTAAAAAACCAAAATTCGAACTAAACAATTTATTTACAAAAAAAAGAGTCCATCATAAACAGTCAAAATACTCAAGCCTTCATTTCAGGTTCTGGATGAGCTGCGTTCCAGTCCAAAGCCCTTTGGATGGCAGCTGGAATTTCGGGCGCTGGTGGAGCCACTGGCAAGTCAGCACTTTTTGGCTGGTAGCCGTTTTCGTCGGCGACATAAGTCAATTCGTGTTTGACACCGTCCGGATCACTGAATGAAACGGAACCTTCAACTGCTTCAATGACGACGTCTTTTTCGAGTACTTTCGGGACACCGTGCTGTTCTTGTTTGCTGCCGTCTCCGGATTCGTAGTTGTATTGGTAGGCGCCGTCAGGATGGACGTCGAGGGCTTGAGAGATTACTGGTACCACTTCTAATAAGGGTGCTGTGGCACTGAGAACTACGGCCACGAGGGCGGAGAAGACTAGAACTTTGGAGAACATTTTGCTTGTTTGCTTGAGTAGCTACTGATGATCTTTTTGCAGAGTTTTGGGTCTTTTATATTAAATCCTTTTAAAAAAAACCGGCTTTTAATTAGGAAAAATTCAAGTTGGTATCTAACATGGGAACCATTTAACATAAAGATGGGTCAAAGACACAAAGTTATGTAAATTTGTTTATTTAAATAACTGAAATAGGTTTTTAAAACTATAAATAAATATGTATTATTAAATTCAACAAATATAAGTGTTTGATTATTGAATTGTAAAGAACCATGAACTACCTACATACTACGATACTACATTATAATAAATGCATTCTGACTTAAGCTCGATGATTTCTCACACATTTATGTGTACCCTCTGTCAAAAAAATTAAGCAAACGTTTTCTGAAAACAACGTGGATATGTAAGTAAATTTGTATAGTAGTAAATCCGACTAGACGCTAAATTGGACTTTTACTAATCCCGGGAACACCTTGCTTTCCGTTCTAGGTTTGGTACCAACGATCACCTTCAGTGTCTCAAAACCCTCATAGAAAAAAGTATAAAATACAACCGTCCTTTGGCATTGGTGTTTGTAGACTTCAGAAAGGCGATCGATATCGTGGAGTAGATCACCTATATTGCGAAATTGAAAACCTATAAAGAAACGCAACGACTCCCGTGAGTCATCACTCCACCACCAGAAAAATTAAAATCAAAAGAGGAGTTCAACAGGGTGACACTATGTCACCCAAGCTGTTCATCAGAATTCTCGGCTTTTTTCAGGCAGGAAGCAACCCCAAGAACAGGCTTGAGCCTGGTCTGCCTCCTCGTTACCTTTTATGCCCCTGTGACGCGGGATCCAAACAAGGGTGACCTTGTTGAGCCTACTGGGAAGCTTGAGGGTTATTATACAGTCAAACGTGAGCCTCGAGCTGACCTTGTCTGAGCCAAGGGCTCGGAGTGCTGCCTGTCTGTCACTGCATATATAAACATGCTTGTCCGAGTAACCTCTCTGGAGATTCTCATAACCACATGCCTGTATGGCGTAGATCTCAGTCTGGTATACCGTTGGGTATCGACCCAGTGCAAGACTAATTCTCGCCACAGGTCTCTTCCCATATACATACATCAGCCCCTGCACCATCCCCCGTCAGAGACCCGAATGTGTACTAGATGAGCCCCTTCGGCTTGAAAAAGCCTGGGTCAGGCTCAGGCTAGTTGTCCCTTGCAAGGATGACGATCTTGTATTGTCTAGGAGGGGCTTGCATCCCTTCTGGTGAGAAGGGGGTCCTGCCTGATAGTGTCAGTCCAGGCCCTTGTATGTCCCATACTCAGCCCTTTGTGAACCCATTGTCCCCAATCGTTGAGTCTGACAGATGTATTATGCTTAGGTTTTCGATTAAAATACTTCGTATTAAAAATATACATATTATATATTCCACTAGACTACGAGACAAAACTTGACAAGATGACGTGGACAAGATGACAAGACCAAAGGAATCACCTGCCGGTGTAACTACTGGTGTGTGTCAATTAACAATCTATAGTTATTTACATTCCAAGCTGCGAAAGCGTACTTTTAGGTGCGAGGTGTATTCAAATGCCAAGGCGAAGCGAAGCGCAGCCGAAGCTATTCGAATACCTCCTAAAAGGGCTTTTGCAGCGTGTAATGTATTAAACTTTTCATTCTTCCCCTTCAAAAATTGTAAATAGGCATGCGAAAGTGAAACATGCTAGTAGCGAAAGTGAATGTATTTACTAGCATGTTTCACTTTCGCTTTCGCTCGCCTATACGCCTATGCATAAAAAAATCTACTTTCGTAGGGGGGAGAATGAAAAAGCTATTGCCACGAATTGACATTTATAAAACATCTTCCTTTTTTTTTTTGTTTTCAACATTCATAACACTACTACTAAAAAACTAAAAATAACAAAATAAGATTAAAGCAACAAATTCAGTTTTACAGCCACAGGTTTGTTGATTATGCGTCCTGATCTTGTTCTTAAACTACTGTTAATTTGGTCATTATTAGTGGGTTCATCACTGGAATGAGCACTATTACGAACAGCCAAATTTTGTGAATGTTCATAGGGAGAAGCATATATACAGGGTGTCACGAAAGGTTTGTTACAAACTTCCAGGGATGGTAGATCTCGTAAAAATAAAACTTTTTTTTAATAAACATGTGTCCGGAAATGCTTCGTTTTCCAGATATACAGGGTGACCCAAATTTCAGCCTCATCATTGGGATCTCGGTAACCGTAAGAGATACGGGGTCGGTTAAATTATGGCAAAGTTGCGCAATTTTATGACCAATGGAATGCCGTTTTGAAACTAGAAAGATTCCTAATACTTCCGTCTTGATGATTTACTTGATCAAATTCATTATTGGATTTTTTAAGATCAAATCTATTTCTGCGTAACACATTTCCTGATTGATCCGCTATATTATATGATCTAGGAGCCTTATCAAGTTCTATGACTTTACCTGGCTCCCATCTTTGATTACTATGATTGTAGATTGAAACAGTTTGATTGGGTGTCAAGTCATTGAGATCTGTAGCAATTTTATCATAATAAGCTTCATTGTAATTTTGTGACGTGTTTGCAACTTTTCAATAACATTTTCACACATTGCTGGTTGCAATAAATCTGCACAGACTGGTAGTTTAGTTTTACACATTCGATTCATTAAAAGCTGAGAAGGGGTGTTATTTATATATTTCAATGGTGAATTTCGATATTGTAATAGACTCTCGAAGATATCTCTACCTTCTTCTATCGATTTTTTTAGCATTTTCTTTGCTATTCCTACAGCCTTTTCGGCCAAACCATTCGACCGTGGGTAATTCGGGCTACGAGTGACAATATCGAAATTCCATTCCTTTGCAAACTCGTACATAGTGTGGCTACCGAATGGTACATTATCACAAATAAGTTGATCTGGGCTACCAAATCTTGAAAAAATAATTTTCAATTTTAAAATCACCTCATAAGCAGACTTATTTTTTAAAAGTAATATTTCAAGCCAAGTTGAATACGAATCCATTACTACAAGATACGAATTATTCACATATGAGAAAATATCAGCCCCTATTCTTTGCCATGATCGGTCTGGAATTGGATACGACAAAAGAGTTTGCTTTTTATTTTTTACTGCGAACCGTTCACATGTCAATCATTTTTTTATATAATTCTCAATATCACGGTTCATACCAGGCCAGTAAAAAATTCCTCCAGCCCTACTCTTCACCTGTTCCAAGCCTACATGACCTTCATGCAATTTTATTAGCATTTCCTTTCCTAATCCAACAGGAATTATTAGTCTATAATTAAAAAACAGACAGAGTCAGACATGAAAAGAGAATCTCTAATTTTGTAGTAGTGTCTAATGCATTCTGGTATAAGCTTTTCGTTTTTAGACCACTCAGAAGATACAAATTCAATTAACTTTTGTAGTGATAAATCAGATTTATAGGCCTGCTTAATTTGTTTTTTTTTCAGCAGATATTGGCAGATACCTGGAGACAGAATGCACAACATGTTCTAATTCTAGGTCCAGATTCAAATTGTTTTCATTGAGAAATGCTCGCGATAGGGTATCAGATACATACAGATATTTTCCTGGTTTGTAAATTACTTTGAGATTATAATAGAGTACTTTTAATAGCATTCGCTGCAGTCTAGGGGGAACTTGTTGCAACTCTTTTTCAAAAATGGCCTGTAAAGGCTTGTAGTCAGAAAAAAGTGTCATATCTTGAGCCCCATATATTAGATAATGAAATTTTTGACAACTTAAAACAATAGCGAGAAGCTCTTTTTCTATCTGTGCATATCTGGTTTCACTTTCTGATAGACTACGAGATGCAAATGCAATTGGGTGACCCAGTTGCATAATACAGGACCCTATTCCGTCTATTGGATAAGCAGGATTGAAAAAAGCTAGAACCGGGGCATTGGTTATCAAATGTTTCAATTGATCGAAGGATTTTTCAAGCTCACTGTCCCAATGCCAATCTGCGTCACTATGTGTCAAATTTCTTAAAAGTGCAGTAATTTTGGACTTGTTAGGGATAAAACTTAGATACTTACCCATAGGTACCTATAAATCTTAATAAATCTTGTTTATTGATTGGAGTAAGCATATCTAGGCTCAATAGACCTATCTATTTTACCAGACAAAGAGGTAATTATACGAAAACTTCATTAGATAAAAAAAGACACAGAACGCTCATTGCGCAAGATGAGGCAAAACGTACCAAGTTATGTTAGACTTACGTATAGCAATCCGTTCTTCTTATTTGCACGGGATAAAAAAGGAAGGAGAAAGACTGCATGTTGTGCAACGTATTTGTCAAAAACAATTTTCGAATGTCACTTGTCAAGCTATGTCAAGTTGAATATCAATTGTACTTTTATTCTTCTCAAACCACAGGCAATAAACAAGGACAAGGAGATACCCAGCGTGCAAAACGAAGACCTCTCACCTTTACTAGTTAGCCAATAGAAAGGCATTGCCTCGTGTTGCGCGCGCATACCAGGTAAAAATAGATAGGTCTATTCCCTTTTTTGAAAAAAATTGACCCATAAGTCTCACTTGTTCAAACCTTTCACCTCTTTCTAACACAATTTGTAAATTTTAGTCATGCTCTGATTCTGTTGAGCCTGTTATGATTATGTCATCAAAATATATTCCCACTCCTGCAATGTCGCCAAAAAATTCGGAGCTTAATTTTTGGAACACCTCTGGGGATGAAGAAATGCCAAATGGTAAACGACAAAATTTATATAACCCAAAAGGAGTTCCAAATGTACATACACAGATCCGATGACTCATCATCAATACCTACTTGAAAATAACCATCCTTCATATCGAGGACTTTGATGTATTCTTTATTGCCAAGCCTACTTGCAATTTCATCCGCTGTGGGAATTAAAACTGGTTCACGTCTGATAGCTTGGTTTAGTTAAGGATCAAAACACAATCTTAAATCACCATTTTTTTTTTCTCCACAATTACCAGGGCGTTAATCCAGTCTGTAGGCTTTTCAACTTTACTTATAATATTTGCAGATTCAAGTTCAATAAGCTTATTTTTCAGTCGGTCATATATCTAGTACCTGGGGCGCACGTCTTGCTTATGTGGTATAGAATCATTTTTGAGTTCAATTTTATATTTTTTTGGAAACTCTCCTAGCCCAGAAAAAACTTTTGGATATTTTAAAGTTATATCGTTTATGGTTAGAAATGAATTTTCCTTTACATCATCAATAAGTTGTAGTAATAGACCTTTTCAAGGTCCACAACGCGCTTGCGCGTCAAATATGTGGGGTTATGTTGGCTGTTTGTTTTGCGGTCCAAAAAGCATAGCAAGTATAATAAAAAAGTTGTAATTAATACCTTTTCCAATTTAAAATGGTCCAAATGCCTTTCAAAAAGGTTAAATTATCAGCAGCAGATGTGCCTAGTGCAATTTTACGTAATAAGATTGTAGAAAAAAATAGCATATTAGAACTTGAAAGGAATCTACGTTGAAGACATGGCCAGGGAAAGCGGTAAAAAATTAATCCCTCAGAATATCTGGGCCTTCCCACTCTGCTGTCACTATTGCACTTTCCAAATACACAATATTTGTGTGCCCCATCGCCTTTACTTATTTTTAAACAGGTTTTTCCAATATTTCCACATGCGAAAACGTGTAACATGGACCGCAAAACAATAATCAGCTGATCGAAGAAATGACAGTGAAATTGTGCGATGTTGCCGGCTTGTACAAATTGAAGCGCGTTAGGTTTAAAAAAATTTTTTTACAAAATGATCATCAATATAATTCCTGCACTATGCATCTTTGTGGACTTATCGAAAGCCTTTGACACAGTTAATCACGAAATCCTACTGAAAAAACTTGAAATTTACGGAATTCGGGGAATTGCAAAAAAACTTATAGGAAGCTACTTAAAAAATAGACGACAGACTGTGAAGGTGAACAGCGTGCAAAGTTCCAGTAGGGAAGTTGTTTGCGGCGTGCCCCAAGGTACAGTTTTGGGCCCACTTTTATTTATAATTTATGTAAATAGTCTTTTAAAAATCACTAGTCTTGGTGATATTATTAGTTACTGCGATGACACAGTGATTTTTTACAGCGCAAATACGTGGCAAGATTTAAAAACAATAGCAGAAAGAGACTTTCTCAATATTTCAAATTGGTTTAAGAGTAATAAACTTTCACTTAATGTCCAAAAAACCAAGTATATAAGTTTCACCTCATACAAAGATAAGCTTCCTAAAATTGGATCATTACAGGTAAATCAAGAGATAGCAATTCCCGAAACTGAAAGTATTAAATATTTAGGCATTATCTTGGATCAAAATCTAAAATGGAATCTACATGTTAAATACGTCACCCAAAAAATTAGAGCTTTGATATCCAAATTTAAATACTTAAAAAACTATTTGGACATAAAACACCTTATTGTTATATATTACTCATTGGTACAGTCACAAATTAACTATGGAATAACAGGATGGGGAGGAGCAAGAGATTGGCATATTCGACAGCTAAATATAGTGCAAAAATGGATAATTAAAGTCATATTTGAGAAAAACAGAACTTTTCCTACAGATCTCTTATTTAAAGAATCAAAACTTTTTGATATTAGACAACTATACATTTTCAATCTATTAATATGTATACACAAAAATAAAATTTGTACAGACTCACCTACTCATACACACGCTACAAGAAATCGCGAAAATCGGGTACAAGTACCAAGAAGACAAAAGAATATTGGACAGAGACATTTTCAATATATAGCGCCAAAAGCATTTAATCTACTACCAAAATCTGTACAAAATTTAGTCAAAGAAAGAACATTTAAAGGTAAAGTTAAAAATTGGATCCAGGAATCAAACCGCCAGGTACTACATGATTTAGTGAATAATAGATGGAATAAGGGGGGGTAAGTTACATTGAAAAGGAAAATTATTGTTCGTTATACCTTGGCCCTGATTTTATTTATTGTTTATTATTTTTGAGCGATTTTATTATTTTTATTATTTTTTTTATTTTTTTTTGTGCTTTTTATGATTTGGCAGACCCTGAACTAGACATTTACACAACCCGATTTTGACAATATTTCCTGATTATGACACTTTTACCCAAATTAGACACCCTTAAACCAAATTGTGACCAAATATTTCTCATCACTAACAAGCTGCAAATAAGTGCAGCTTCTGTGATTTTCGTTTATTTGTACCCTAGTTTATATGGATGTTACTAGATAATATTATTTATTGTGTTATTTTGGTACCTACAATAAACGTATATTTATTATTATATCTTTTCAACAAATAGCTCGAGTCCTCAGCTGCATCAAATACTAGGTTAATTAATAATAAATAAATTGAATCTCAGTTCTAGTGAAATCGAAATTAATCATGATTCGTTCCTGTATAGCGTGATAAAAAGCGACACTTGGCAACAATGTTTTGCGCATGCGTAACAGAATTATTCTAATTTGAAAAGGTCTATTTCAAAGCTACACATAAATCAAGACCTAACAGAGCAACTTGATTCTTACAATCAACAAGAAAATTGATGGATACTACTTTCCGCTTTACAGAACAATTCAATTCATTTTCACCAACAGGCTTAATTTTAAATCGTGAACTACCATAAGACATTAAAGTAACATTAGTAACGTTCAACTGCTTTTTTGTTTTGATTCAAATGATGTGCTTCATGCACTCCTATTTTGAGACTCCTGTTTGCTACCCAGGAATTTATAATTATTGTTATTCAAATTGCTGCGTCTACCTATAGAATTTATGTTACTTTCTTCTTTCAATGCTTGGGCTTGAAGTTTGCTTGCCTCTATGCTTCTGCAGAAAATAATTGCTTTTTCCAAATTTAAATTTGATTCACGAAATAACCTTTCCTGGGTACCTTTGTCCAAAATTCCCATAACTATTCTGTCTCTAACCATTTCGTTCTGTATACTCTGTGGTTGTGACACCCTTTCTAAGCTCTGTTAAAAAGAAGAATTTTGACCTTCTTTTTGCAGGATCGAATTAAATTTGAATCGCTCAAAAATTATATTATTTTTGGGTGCACAATATTCATCAAAATTTTGCTTAATGCTCTTCAAAGATTTTTCTTCCTGAGCTGTCAAAGTGAATGAATTATAAAGCTCAAGTCCATCTTCGCCAATAATTGTGAGAAAAATTGCTACTTGCTGTTCTGGTTCCTTAGATTTCAAATTAGTTGCCACTGCATAAAGTTCGAATCTTTGTCTGAACCTTTTCCATTGCTCTGCCAAATTTCCACCAGTTACAATCAACTGTTCTGGAGGTTTGAGTGCCACATCCATCACAAATTTATTATAGAATCAACTTGCCTATAAAAACTGTTCATCCAGTGCTAACCTGACACCATGTATTATGCTTAGGTTTTCAATTAAAATACTTCGTATAAAAAATTTACATATATTCCACTCACTAGACTATGAGACAAGACTTAACAAGATGGCAAGACCAAAGGAATCACGCTGGTGTAACTACTGGTGCATGTAAATTAACAATCTAAAGCTATTGCTACGTATTGACGACATAAGCCAAACATTTATAATACAACAGAAGCCTCCCGGGCCCGTGCCTCCACAAAGAAATGGAGAGGCATTATGCCCAGTATGGCCATACCGGATGGAACAAGTCTCGATCCAAAGAGCGTGAACCCTTCCAGGTCCACGTTTCTTCGCTTTGTAAATGGTACTACCTCGGTCTTGTCTGGATTTACCGAAATCCCGTGATTTTTACACCATCTATCTACCATGTTAAGAGCTCTTCCCTTTATTGGTGCTTGGTATTCTACCAGCCACAACAATGACAAGATCGTCTGCGTAACCTTGAGTGTACATACCTTCCTCGTTCAGAGTGCGGAGCAGCCCATCCACTACCCAGCACCACAGCAGAGGCGACAGTACACCCCCCTGCGGGCAGCCTCTAGCTACGTTTGAGCGGATCTTCGCATTACCAATCGATCTTGTAATGATTCTACTTTCCAGCATGACACAGATTCATTTGATAATGGTGTACTCTATGCCAAAGCTTTCTGCAGCATTTTTTATAGAGTCGAATGAGGTGTTATAAAATGCCCCCTTGATGTCTAGAAATACACCCAAAGAAAGAAGCGTCACCCACACAGAGCTCCACATAAGTGTGAGAAGGCTAAGTTAAACCAGAGGTCGCCCTGTATCTGGAGTAACGATAGAGCACTCCCTCTATCATGCATCCCTCGGCGCTTGCTGTTCCGCCATATTATGTTGGATTAGAGAGCCCTCCATAGCTTCACCGCCAATTCTCACTATGGAAGGAGTGAGTTCGTGGTTACTGTACCCCCCCCCCCCCCCTCCATATCAAGGTCCCACAGCTCATTAGGAGGTAAGACATATTCTTCAGACTAAATTGTCAAGTAAAATCATGGAAAATATAAAAGTGCTGAAGCTGAATTTTGACCAATACAAATAACACAAATCAATATATACAAAATTATTTAATTTATTTACAGAAACAGTTATTGTTTTTCTTCTGGGTGTGGATGGTCAGCAATATATTGCAAAGCCCTAGCGATCATGGGAGGAATTTTGGGAGCTACAGGTATATCAGCACCGATCGGTTGATAACCGTTTTCATCAGCTACGTAGCTGATTTCGTGTTTGCCTCCTTCCAAGTCCGTATACGAAGCGGAACCGGCGACTACTTCAACAACGACGTCTTTGTCGACGACTTTCGGTGCACCGTGTTGTTCTTGTTTGATGCCGTCTGCCGATTCGAAGTTGAACTTGTAAGAACCGTCTGGTGCGAGATCGAAGTCTTGGGAAACTACTGGTACTTGTGGTGTTGGGTTAGCACTCGGTGAAGTGCTGACTACTAAAGCCACTAAGGCGGAGAAAATTATTGTTTTGGAGAACATTTTGGTAGATGCAGTTCGAGTTGATTACTGATAATAATTTAAAAAAGTTTGGGCTTTTATATTAAAGCATTGTTTTTCTTTGATTTTTTTTTTGAAAAATTATTTAGAATTTCTCAAGGCCGCGAAGGTGAGTCGTAAAATCAAAAGTTATGTTAAAAAATCCTGTTTAGATGCTCAAATAAATGATTATGACTTCCACAAATTTAAATTTATAATTATATATTATTTATATTAGCTATAAATAATAGGTTATCTACTGCCTTAAATAAAGCCGCTTGTCGAAGGCAATAACCTGTCCAAAAGAAATGAAAAAAAAAGGCATTTGGAAGAAAACATGGGATGATATGTCATTATCCTCCAACTCATTTATGTCTGAAAGACTTTTCTATTCAATTCAAATATAAGCAAAGGCCAGATTACTTCACTATAAATAAATTTGAAGATTTCAATGTCACCATCAAACGAGAATTAATTGAATGCTTATTAACACCTACGTGATAATTTGATCATTAATAATTGTTCACCTGAAGAAATAATATGCTAGGAATGTTGTCTAAGTTATGTTGAACTTGATATGGATTAAGTACCTAACTTGTATAAGAAATTTCAAAGGATGTGTGGATTTCATTTTAGAGAAAAGTTTGCAAAGTTCAAGATACAAAACAGGAGATTCTTAGATTATTTTTACCTCAATTACCCTATATTTTTATATACCAATTGTTCTTCCAACTTTCGTACGCATCGAAGTACTACCACATTAACCCACTTTTAATGTCGAAATTTCGACTTAAAATTGTTCCCAATGTTATTTCATTATATAAGTAGTCCTAGAATTCACTTGAAGATCAAATCCACTCTCTTTTTTACCATTGGGAAGTTTCAATTTCACTATTAGACTAATATTTAGTCGCAAATCTTTAAAAACATCGATAAGTTTGTCCTCTATGTGGAATGTTATGCGGCGAACATCAATAGTTTGATGGTAAAACATCATGATTTATCTGTATTTCCAGAAAAGAAAATGTCAAGAATTTTCCAAAACTATATTTATTCTTGTCTTCAAAGTCCAAATTTCCAGTACCTCTGACTGCTTTTACTCTATTTGACTTTTCTAATAAAAAATAAATTATTTACTCACAAATATTGACTCTCAATAAATTTGAAATGGCGTAGTAAAATAATTGTACGTTTCAACCAATAATGGAATAATTTTCAGAAAAATGAGAAAATAATCTAAAAATATCACATAATATTGAATGAGTAATTAGCCCATAATTTGCATGGTGATTCTTCCTCAAATTAATATTGGTTAAAAAATAAATATCCAAAATTTGCATAATATTTGTTTACTTACGCTAGGACGTATTTTTCTATTCTATTAGGACCACGAAATCTGAGGTTGGTACCATCATCATATAAACTTGACCCGTATTAACATAAATTTTGGGTAGTCGCAATTGAGTAGGGGAAATATTAAATAACTATATAAACGTAATTTTCTTCATTGATTTTATTACAGTAGTTAGTGTGGTACCAAAAAAAAAAAAAATGTTCGCCAAAATCGTAGTATTCTCCGGTCTTCTGGCCATAGTTCTCAGTGCACCGGCCGAACCAGAACCCGTACCAATTATCTCGCAAAATTCCGACATCCAACCCGACGGCAGTTTCAAATGGGACTTCGAATCCGCCGACGGTACCAAACAAGAACAAAGCGGTGCAATTAAAGCTGGTGCCGAACCCGACGAAACAGTTTCGGCAGTTGCAGGCTCCGTCAGCTGGACCGACCCAGATGGCCAAAAGCACGAATTGAATTACGTTGCTGATGAAAATGGGTTCCAACCTCAAGGTGCTGATGTTCCAGTAGCTCCAGAAATTCCTGCTCAGATTGCCAGGGCTCTGGAATGGATCGCCAATCATCCTGAACCAGAAGAACCTGCGAAGCAATGAGTAGTTTTGAGTGAATTATTGTAAAAAAAAAATAATGAGGTAACTCGACTGTGTTTTTGTTTATTGTCATTATTATTATTACTGCCATTTTTACATTTGTTTTTTAAATATATTGCATAATTTTTAAATTCGTGGTTTTTATTATTTCTTGTGACTCGATTATATAAACCAAATTCACTTTCTACTGTATAAGCAGTATAAGTAAATATTTATATTTGAGTCATTCAATTTTATCAATAGTTGATTCTTCTATCATTTTGTTCTTCTATAAACTTGTTAAGATTCTCCTTATTCGATAGGAATTTTACTGATATTTCGTCGATACCTTACTCCCACAAAGATAGTAGTTGTTTGAGACTCTTCCCCTTTATTGTTCAATAAAGGGGGAGAGTCTTATATAAGTATAAAAATTCTATTCTCGGCGCTCTAATGCCAAATATTGAACTATAAACTACTTATTTTTGATTATTTTAAGAATTAAAGTTGAGATATAGCCGTTCGAAAAGCTCCAATTTGACTCTGATAGAACTAAAATTTAAAAGGAAAATTATGGAAGCCTCAGTTCTTTCTCTACTAGAGCTAGAGAAAGGCATTAAAATTCTATTCCTGGCGCTCCTACTAATGCCGAAAATTGAACTATAGACATGGGACCATTTGAGAGTAAAAGTTAGGATAGAGCGGCTCAAAAGCCTTAAATCTGATAATTGCAGACCTGAAATTCAATTGCAAAGTTGTAAAAATCTCATTCCTGGCTCTACTAGAGGTGAAATTTGAACAAGAAAGGCATTCAAATTCTATTCCCGACACTCCTAATGCCAAAAATTGAACTAGAGAAGTGTTGAACTGATTTTTGATTAGTTAGCAGTTAATCGGCCCCCAGCAGGTGTACAAAAAACTTACCTTCACACAAGCATCTTAAGAAAAAGACTGCTGCCTATGCTGTTCGACTAAGTAAAATGCATGAAGACTCAAGTTCTGAGTCTCTCTTGATCCGGCATGTATCCATCCAGGTATTTGAATGTCAAGCAAATAGGAAAGGTCCTTCAACCATTTAGGAAAATTCAGGATCCACATTCGCGTCATATGTCAGTTTCATCTCCCAGATTTTTTGAAGGAGCAATTTTGGAATTGGGGACTTGTAAAACCAACGGGATCGAAAATCTTCTGAGCTAGAAACAACATTTTCCGTTTAGTTACAGGCTCATTCATTAACTCCAAATCTTTTAAGTACTCTTTACTAATGCTTTGCATATCAGTTTCAGTTTGCCTAGTGATCCTGTGTGCTGGGAAGAACCAGTGACTTTTAGCTGCTGAGAGAACTCCAAATTTGGCCTCAGCCATGACCATACTATAGACTCCTGTATAGAACTCTTCAATATAACATCATCCGAAAGGCTGGTCACGTAGTTATCTACATATAAGCTCTTGGATAACTTTTCCTTACAATAAGGTCCCTTTTCTGTCATACACTTTTCAAGAGCCTTGGCAAGATGATACTCAAGAATGGCTGCTAGCAAAAATGGACTACTGCTGACTCCAAAGCGTACTCGCATATGACGGAACACCTTCTCATTGCCATTAGAAACCATCCAGAGAAAACGTAAAAAATCTCTGTCGGCTTCATGTATACTGATCTGAAGAAAAGCTTTGCGTATGTCTGTTATAACTCCTATTCTACCTTGTCGAAATCGTAGTAAAATATTTGGAATCAATTCGATCAAATTAACCCCCTTCTCCAAACACTGATTTAATGAAGAAGCATCTCGTTCCTTGGCTGAAGCATCGAAGACAGGTCTAATGCGCGTGGTACTACCCTCTTTTACTGCAGCTCTGTGTGGCAAAAAATGAGCAACATCATCGGATATAAAATTATTGTCTTGTATCCTCTAGCTATAATGTGTTTATTTTCCCATTCATTAAAAACTTGATTGTAGGAATTTACAAGGTTATTTTTGTTTAAAGTGCTGGATGGATGTTTCTTGGCAAGATGATAATAATTCGTAGGCAAAGGGGTGTGTCCCTCGACCCAAGGTAGTCTGACTTCATAACGTCCATCTTTATTAATATCCACCGTTTCAAGGACAAATTCTGTAGCTGCCTGAGCCAATTGGTCTCGTGATTGCTTTTCGGTAGGTTCTGTTTCGTTATACCCAAAATATCAAGCTGCCAGAGTAGGTGATGCATCGTTAACAAACAAAGAAATAGCTGTTATAGTTCCATTTTTAGTTTAGTCTATAGGTATTTGGCCCGTAAGTGTCCATCCTAACAATGTTTCCATAGTCAACAATCCACACTTCATAATATGCCTTCGTCCAGTGTGTAGTTTGCCAACAACGACCGATCCAATCAAAATTTCTATAGGGGTATCATCGTAACAATCACTAAGCTGAATAGGTACCTAATTTCTTCAATTCTTCCATCCGGTGAAACGTCAAAGCAAATAACAGGCTGTGTCAAGGCTTCAAAAGTACAGCTTTAACTATCATAACTTAATTGAACATCATAAAAATCATGTTTCAACTGTGTAGTTGCTCAGTTTTGACGCTTGGATTTGTAGCCCAACAATTCTACTGGACTTTTTGAAATATACCTATTTTGAGAACCTGTGTGCTCGTACGCTCCTGAACCCATACACTGGTAGCCCGTAAAGTTTGGAGAAACACATATGGCTAGAAGTCCCATCAATACAAGTTAACATTTCCACCGAATCCTGATTAGATTTTTTGACATCTGGGCGATCATCAACTGACTTGCCTCCTGGCAAATTAGAACACATTAAAGTCACATGGGATTTGCCACAAACAATACATTTCAAACGGGCTCGACATTTCCACCAAAAAAACACGTCTTTTTTGAAGTAACAGCTTCATTCCTTTTTTCTAGTGAAAAATGTTGTGCTTTAAAACAACTGCGGCTATCATGATTGTTCTCACAAAAAAAAAATGCATTTGTTCGAAACTAAAGGTCTTTCATGGTTAATAAGACCAGTATCAGTAGAAACTTCCTGCTCAGAGGAACTTGTGACCTTTTTTCTTGCTCCCACCATTCCATGAGCACCAGCGATATTAGCATTGGCGTGTTTCTGCTTCTAGCCTGTACGCACACCAAAACTTTCAGCGGCCAGCAAAATCCTCTGTTCATTGTCGACCTCGTTGTGCAAAAACTGTATTAGATTATTGAATCTAGTGATCGAAGAACCATTTACACTTTGTTGAGAACCGGTAGGATTAGTATTGGCTAGAGATGAACGTTGCCACACCCTTAACAAAATTTTCGGGTAAACATGACTCAATAAGTGGGGATAACATTGCAGAACAACTATCAGATTTAACGCTCAGAGTGTACAAAGCGCGCATTTGAATCTATGCTATCATACAATTCGACTAAAATCCATTCTACCATTAGAAAGAGCGTTATTTACAATGATTTTGAGTAGTCACGTACAGTCGTGAGAATTGAAAATGAGACAGTCGGGTGTCCTACTTTTAATACTCACGACTGTACATACACCTCTATCTGCAAATCATCCCTGCCAAAACGAGAAATCAAACAGTCAATAATTTCGTTATAATTTTCTCCAACGCAAGGAAAATTTTCAACAAGTTGTCTTGCTCTGCTGCCTGGTAATGTAGCTTCAAATATTCTACTTTGTCATTGAAATCTATCTCAGGATCGTCATGCACCTTACTAAATTATGACCAAAATGGCAGCCAATTTTTCATAGGTCTGTTTCTGCAAAAATCACAAACCAGTCAGAGTGAATTTCATTGGTTGAAACTAGTTTTCTGACTGTTTCCAAGCAATGAAATTTGCTCTGACTGGTTTGTGATTTCCGCAGAAACAGACCTAATATTGCCATCGAAAGTTTTGTATTCTATACCAGGAAGTTTGAATTTGCGCGTACCTTTCTCGCTGCTAGTTGAGTTACTTGACTGGTTAGTTACTGATTGAGTCTCACATTGAGCCTTCGACTTATTGTCGAGGAATTCGGTGCACTTGAGGCCCAGAGCCAAATATCTCTTTTTGTAGGTTTCACATCAATTCATCTCTGCCAGCCGATACTCCTCACTTGTTCCTTTAAGCATCAAGCAGTAAATTTCTTCGTCCATATCATCCAACTTGTTGGACTTCTCAATAAACAATTTCCAGAACACTTGCACTTCTTGTTCAGCTTTGTCCACGATTAGTTTATCTAGTTTCTTCGTAAACGATAAACGTAACACTTTTTTTTGTTTCTTCAAGTCTTCTATGTTTTTTTTTAAATGTGTGTTCAACCAAAAAATACAGAACAAAGTTGAGAACAAATATGCACTATGCAAACTTGAGTAAAATTGAGTTGTCTGTGTAAATAACCACACTATATGAACTTGCTTGGGTTCAAAACCAATCTAGTTCAAAACGTAGATAAAGGTAGTTCAAAAAACAAACTTTTTAGCGTTAAAGCCTCTGTTAAATACAAAGGGACAGCTCGTTCAAAAACACTCAACGCGCAACTACATTAAAAACGGAGTGAAAGTTTCTTTTCTTTATACGTTTCAGAGACTTTCCTACTAGAACAAACCATACTACATCTAGATACCGTTTTTCCACAAAAAAATGCAATTAGGTACTGTCACGGTCACCACTTTATGTCGTGGCCCAGAAAAACTACCCGCCAAAAAGGATCGTAACAGCAGGATCCGACACTAATACCAACAATGCAAATAGAGAAATGTGAAACTGACCATTCGAAAGAGTTCAAATTTAGAGTCTTCTGATATTATAGTTTTTTTTCTGAAATAGAAGTACCTACAACTTTTTTCCATTAAATTCTTTCATATCCAGAACACTCTCAAGATAATAAATCAATTGCTTTTTCTACTAGACGCTTTTACCTACTTAAATTTTTTTTTTGTAATAAAACATCTTGCCCAATAGAATGTACACAATAAAAACCCACAAGAGATTACCTAGCATCATCACACCCACGAACCATTTCGCTGAACATCACGGACAAGTCATTCATCTTTTCTTTTTCTCGCGTGTCCTTAATTTTCGTTTGTTATGCAATTTCTACATACTTATTTATTTTTTAATAACATATTAACACACCTCTGATGTGTTTGTTTGACAAATTATCTTGCTTGTTTGATGAGATAACAAGGTTTGGGTTTGTTCCTGTTTTCATTTTTTTTAGGTTACTCGTCTATATTTCAATTGAATTACAATACTTATCCCTGGTTGATTACCAAATCTATAAGTCACCAGTTTTTCATAATTGGTTTTAAAAATTTTTCACATTTTTTTCGAGAAAGTATCACTTACTGTGTGTAAACTGTTACCTACTCAATTACAGCTCTAGATTTTTCCCAAAGTACCTAATGCTTTTTATATAGTTCTGATTTAAAATAAATGGAGATGTTCCAACTGATCAAAGTAGTACCCCATATTGACACTAAAACTGACAAAGAAGGCCAAATAACAATCAAATACCTATGTTGCCGTTGAAAAAAGGTCCTACCCTCATAACGATGATGTTCCAAAAGTACGTAGGTACTACCGTAAATTTTGAGTAGTACCATCTCTATTGCTGCTCATGAATCAGCATAATAATAATTATAATTTATAATTTCGCAATAAATTTGATAAATTATTCTACTCATATAAGTGAAGTGGTACCTCAAGGTTAGCAAAATTTGAAGTTCACATTGATGAATGGCAAACCGTTAATCATTTTGTATTCAGTACAATGAGCCATTTTTTTCACAAAGTGGGGGCTTTTACTTTCAATATAAATACTTCAAACTTTTATTAGTGAGCAATACAAATTCAGTTATAAAATGTTTTCCAAAATCGTAATATTCTCTGGTCTTGTGGCCATAGTCTTAAGTGCTCCGACTCAAGAACCTGTCGCTATTGTGTCGCAAGACTCCGACATCCACCCCGACGGTACCTTCCAGTGGGGCTACGAATCAGCCGACGGAACCAAACAAGAACAAAACGGCGCGCCCAAACCTGTCGATGATGAAATTGCCGAAGTCGTACAAGGATCAGTTTCCTGGACCGATCCTGAAGGCGGTAAGCACGAGCTCAGATACATTGCCGACGAAAACGGGTTCCAGCCTCAAGGTGCCGATGTTCCAGTAGCTCCGGAAATTCCTGCTCAGATTGTTAGGGCTTTGGAATGGAATGCTGCCCATCCGGAACAAGAAGAGAAAGAACAGTAGATTTCGTTATTGATGTTTTTTGTTGTATATTTTTGTATTATTTTATAAAAAAGCAGTTTTTTTGAAGTTATAGATGTGTTTTTTTAACACTTTAATTATGTAGGCAGGCAAATTTAGAAACTTTCATGATTGCAGAGTGCTACTAAACAACGGTAGTCAATCTAACTTTATCAGTCAACGATTTTGTGACATCCTGCAGATTCCCACAACAAAAACAAATATTTCTATTTTTACAATAAGTCAAATTAATGAACATGTGAATTTAAGTACAGTGTCTGTGTAAACATGAAATCTTTAGTAAATGATTTTACTCAAAAATTACCATGTTTAGTTTTACCACAAATTACTGGCAGCACTTTTACATTTGATTCTCATTTTCTAAATATACCTAAAAACATCACTTTAGCCGATAAAAACTTCTTCGAATCGACTCCTTTTGATCTGCTTATCGGCACAGGAACGTTTTGGGATCTTTTGTGCTTAGGTCAAATAAAGCTTGGACCCAACTGTCCCATTCTTTACAAAACCAAGTTGCGTTGGATAATATCTGGTCCCATTTTTCTTAGAAATTTGGCTCCCCAACCATCACAAAATGGCTACTTGTCGACCTCATTTTCCCGTGAACATGAATTATTTGAAAATTTAAACAAATTCTGGAAACTGGAAGAATGTCCAAAGATGAAATTTATTTCACAGGATGACAAATATTGTGAAAATAATTTAAACGAAACCACTTCTCAAAATTCTTACGGACGATTTATTATCGCTATTCTTTTCAAAAAGGACCCTTCTTGTTTAGGAGATTCTAAAAATGCTGCAAACAGACAATTCCTATGCCTGGAACGTAAACTCGAGAAAAACCCTAAACTTGAACTGCAATCTCACAAGTTTTTAAATAAATACCTTTCACCTTGGACAAATGTCAATTTCTCCTTTTCAAGATGACTCTGGTTTTTTTCTTTCCTACCCCCACCACTGTGTGATTAAAGATAATTCCACAACTACAAAATTACGCGTTGTTTTCAATGGAAGTTCACCCAGTTCATGAGGTCTTTCACTTAACAATTTAATGCTACCTGGCCTTACAATTCAAGACTGTCTTTTCAATATTTTACTTCGTTTCGATGACATACTTGTCTATACGTCAAATACTGTTACCTATGGTCTGGTTTCATCTTCATTTTTGGCTATCCGTGCATTACATGAGGTTGCTTACTTGAACAAAAATATACACATCCTAAACTTTCGTCTATAATACTTTATTTAAACTTTTATGATGACGATTTACTTTAGTAATAAAATAGACGTTTCATAAATTGTTTTTCATTTCGTTTTTCAGAAGATTTGTTGTTTAGAAGGTAATAGAAATTCACACAGTTCAATCTTGCTAAACGAACCCGGGTATGTTATACTACAGTAGTACGTAGTTGCTTCCAATGTTTTAAGTTATTATGGGGAATCTTTTCGCTTCACGCATAACTCCTGCTCGGCCTTTTCATATCTGCGGAGTGGATTATGCCGGTCCCTTGCTGGTTCGTGATCGGAGAGGAAGACATTTTAAACTCACGAAGGCCTATATTTCGTTGTTCATATGTTTCGCCACCAAGGCAATTCATTTAGAGGTAGTAAGTGATTTGACTACTGACTGCTTTCTGGCTGCATTGCGTCGGTTTATGTCAAGACGTGGTAAATGCGCTCAAATATACTCCGATAATGGCAGTACCTTCGTAGGAGCAAATAACGAAATTAAATCATTTTTTGATAAATATCATACTGACATACACAACAGCCTCTCTAGCGATGGAATCAAATGGCATTTCATTATTCTTCGAGCATCCCGCGCCATGGTGGAATCTGGGAGGCTGGGGTAAAATCGGTTAAGTCCCATTTAAAGCATGTACTGGGTAACGCGTCACTTAATTTTGAAGATTTTACAACTTTATTATGCCAGATTGGAGCATGCTTGAATTCCAGACCCCTCTGTCCTCTTTCTCAAGTGATCCTTCCCCTTTAACACCTGTGCACTTTATCATCGGCAAAACACTAACTGCGATTCCAGAACCTTACTACATTGAGATCAAAGAAAACCGACTTTTTCGCTACGAATGGCTACAACAATTATTGCAGCACTTCTGGACCAGGTGGTCTAAAGAATATGTTTCTTCGCTGCAGCAGCGAACAAAATGGCAGCAGAATTGTCAACAGTATCTCAAAGTTGACACTTTGATCCTGGTTGAGGATGATGGCTTACCCCCATTAAAGTGGAGACTGGGCAAAATCACGCATCTACCTCCAGGGACAGATGGTGTTATTCGTTCAGTGACCATTCGGACTGCTTCAGGAACCTTTAAGCGGCCTGTCATAAAAGTGTGCGTGTTACCGAATCAAGACTATGATTTGTGACTTATATGAACTTATTTGATTAGAATACTTTGTTTATTAGAACTTTACTTTCTATTTTTTTTTTAAATTTGAAACGCTTATGTTAACGCTCTCCTTTATATTTTTTTGGCTTTATATATTGTACTTTCGTCTCACGGTGCATGTTGCAAGAATTGAGTGTGCGCTTTGCTTCCTTCAAATTATTTTACTGCGACTTATGCCGGTACCAACACCAACTATAGATCGCCCTCAAGCCGTAGAGAAGGAAAAAAGGGCTTCTTCAGTCTTCACCCTACTGCTAGATTAATTCAATGTACTGTCCGAATATTTTCTAATATATATTGTTCAAACAAGTTGAAATAAAATTATTATAAGTTTATACGTGAAATTCTCAAATTCTTTACTTCCCTACAAACAAGCAGACATTCTGAAGTAAAAATTGATCAAGAGCATTCAGATCTGATCAAAAACAAATTGGAGGAAGCTGTCTTCGACGTGCCAGGAGCAAGCAGCGAAACACTCCAGCTTAGCAGAACCACATATCATGCAGGGGTTCTATGGATGACCTGCGGTAACGAGGCCACCAATAACTGGCTAGGACAGGCGGTGAAGGGACTCGGAGGACTCTGGCAGGGGGCAAACCTAAAAATGGTTGAAGCCAAGGACCTGCCAAAGCGACCACTGGTGCTGACCTTCATACCTGGAGCGGAATCAGTTGAGGAAGAAAGTGATCAGAGCAAGACTTGGCAGACAAAACCGGGAGCTCAAGGAGGCAGATGGGATTCGGGAGTCCAAGAAGGCAGAAAAGGGATTTCTGACGCTGACGTACTCCATAGCCGAGACGCCATTTGGGGCTTTGCGGGCCAACCAATTCAAAGTGTTTTACGAACTTGCGAGGTTGACCTTTCAAAGTGCTGAGGGGTCTCGATGGAGGGGATCAGGGTCCTTCAAATAAACCTGCAGCACAGTAAAGCTGCCTCTGCCGCTCTAACTAGGACTATGGGAAAGTACGACATTGCACTTGTACAGGAACCATGGGTAAGTAGAGGGAAAATCGCAGGCTTGTCGGGAATCAGTCGAGAGCTATATACAGCAGATCCACTGAAACTCCCAGAGCCTCTATACTAGTTAAAAAAAAACATAAAAATGTTGCTGCTAACAGAATTCTGTTTTAGGGACCTTGATGCGGTAAAAATTAGATTGTCAGTTGGGGTCGGGCAAAGGGAGCTAGTACTCGGCTCTCTTACCTTCTAGGAGATGATCCTCAAGAGCCACCATCCAAGGAAGTACAGAACCTGGTGAAGGGAAGTCATAAATCTGACAGTATTCGATGATAACTGCATGTTTCTAGAACAACATGAGGGAAAGAGTATTGGACTTCACATAAAATATCAATAGGACAATGATGATAAGCTACATGGCGGTCCAGAAAATATAATTTCAAAATAAAAATATGTGTGTGTGGGGAAAAAGTGGACATAAAATCTGAATAAATAGAGATGTTGAATTGACAGAAAAATTGGAAGAGCACCTTACCAATCGCAGTAGCTTTGTTTTGGTTCGAAAAAAGGACTCGTACAGTTTATCAATAAAAAAAATGACAATGACTCGTCTATCAAAAATTCCGATAAGAAACTGTGCGATTGCTTTAGACCGTTCTAGAACCGTCGAGTTTTCAGACCAAAACAGAGCTAATATCCACCCCAATTCCGACAGTTCATGACTTTAATTAGCGTACCTACCTACATACAATGCATACCTATGAACTTTGTACTTAGGTGATTTTTCCATTAGTGTATTTTTCATTCTTAGGAAGTTTAGTTGTTGCTGGAATAAAATTGCGAACAAACCATATGTTACAGTTTTACCACATTCAGCTGATGATATTTAGTAACCTATTACCTCTACCTACTTGTTAGAAACAGTATACCTATATTCCACATACATCTATATTGTAGATGCGACATGGTAAAATGTTGCTAATAAAGTAAAAAATACAAAATTTCAATTATTCAAAATGTATTTTAGAAAACCTAACAAAAAAAACAGTCAAAGGTCCATTCGCTATTTTATAAAAACAGCATGCGGCGTCAAAAAAAAAATCCTAGTGTTCCATTGGTTCGGGATGGGCTGCGTTGTATTCCAAACTCTTCTGGATGGCTAATGGTATTTCTGGTACTACTGGCAAGTCAGCACTTTGAGGTTGGAATCCATTTTCGTCAGCAACATAGGTCAACTCGTGTTTGTTTCCTTCTTTGTCGGTGTAGGAGATTGAGCCATGAATAGTTTGAACTACTTCTTCTCCGACTTGCTTGACAGTACCGGTTTGTTCGACTTTGGTTCCGTCGGCGGTTTCGTAGTTGGATTGGAAGCTACCGTCAGGTAAAATGTCGGAAGTTTGGGCTAAAATGGCAACTGGTTCGTCGACTGGAGCACAGAGACTGATAGCCAAAAGGCCGGAGAAGATTATTACTTTAGCGAACATTTTGAATTGTGTGATTTGGAACACTGATACTGATAGGAAGGTTGTGATAAGTTTTTATACAGATTTTTTTGGAGATTCCCCACTCTTGAGTATTAATTCTTTTCTTACTAGATGTCCAATTAGCACATATTATATTAATTTGATCTTTTAGATTTTAGGAGGTCCTTGAATTTTATTGTTTGGCATTCGAATGGTATTATTATATCATAGTAATGAAATGGGTTTCTTGATTTTAAATATCTGCAATATTTCTGCTAAAAATTGTAAGAATTTTTCTCACTTAAACATTCTTTGAAGCCTTCTGAAAAATAGTTACTTCAACTACTCACATCGACTTCTAACATTTAGAATTTATTGACTTAAGGTCTTTTCATTCAATAAAACAAATTATAAGTGAATGAGTGAATCTGAAGCTCAAAAATAGAGTTTTTCCTGGTTCAACATCAAAAATATAATACGATTATTATTTTCAATAAATATTATAAAAAGCTGAGAATATTTATTGAAAATCCAAAACCAAATACCTACGACCCAAGCACTAATAATTACGTAAGATGCGTGTAAATATCAAAAGTTTAATTACAATTTTGTTTTGGATAGGTAATAATAATTGTAAAATTTTAGCCGAGAAGCTTTTTGAGATTTTGGAAAAAAAAAACAATTATTACGAAACCATTAAGTACCTATTCAAAAACTTATGACATTGCATTAACAGATTATTTAATAACAAATAAAATATGATGATGACCAAAATTGGAATCCAAAAATAGACAGCAAAAGTGAACGAACAACAATAATTTAAATTCCTATCAAGTTTGCGACAAAATATTACTGGGTGACTAGAATGCGAAAAAAAAAAGAATGGCAAGTTTTATTATAAAAACCACGTTTACATTTTGGTTTTAATCAATCGATTACTAGAAAACAAATTCAAAATGTTTGTATTTTTTGCACTTTTTGCTACATTTGCTTCAATTGATTGCGCCTCAGTACCAGCAATTGCTTCAAGTACCAGCGTACCTGTAGCAATATTGAGCAATACTGTTAATTTAACTGCTGAAGGAAACTATAATTGGAGGTCAGTACTTTATGAGCTATAAGATGTGTTTTTTAATTATTTTTTTTTCAGTTTCGAATTAGCAGATGGTACCAAAGCGGAACAAGTAGCCTCTGTTAAGACCGTTGATGAAGAAAAAGTAGAAGATATCAAAGGATCTTACAGCTATGTCGATCCAGATGGTAACACTCACTCTGTACAATATATTGCTAACGAACATGGATTTTTCCCTAAAGGGGACGATATTCATCCAGAAATTGCCAGCCATCTAGTTGAACTTGAAGCAAACCCTCCACGTCTATCATCAAAGATTTCAGTGTGACAGATCGAACTTGAATAAATTGAAATCTGAATATTTTATTTAGCTTATTTGAATTAACAATGAATGTTAATACTTTCATTCATATATTTTACAAAACCCATTGTTGTGGAACAATTAAGTTTCCATTTCAATATAATTCCTTCCTCCTTGGGTGGTTCGAAATTGCGGTTGATGCACCAAGTTAGGCAACTCAATTTGAACCTCAGTTTTTACATTTTTCCTAAATTTATGTTTAAAATATAAAATGGTTATACCTTATAATTATAAAGAAAACAATTAAAATTATGATTACATATGGGGATATATGGTTACTTACAAAGGTTAACTCTTTTAAGGGTCGAACTTCAAGTTGTGATGCTTCTTGTAGGGGTTGGGTCTACTGTTTTTAGTTTGACCGTCGTGATGTTTCCAGGAAAAAAAGGAATGTCTATTTTGGGTATCGTGAGTTCCAAATTGAAGTTTTCTTTAATGTCATCGGAAAATGTGTGATTATTGAGAGTCAATGAACATTTTCTCCTTAAGATTAAAGTAGGACTGGCAATTATGTTGATGTACTTCTTCGTCTTCTTCTCTGTACTTGCACTCCATAACTGCTATCAAACTTTTTTTGAGAATTAACAATAACTGATTGTTAGGTAGTTCTTGAACTGTCGGTTCTTCATATTAGATTTACAAGATAGGGCATGTTTGTTGTTCACTATTGATGCTGTGAACACAGGGCTCATTTTGGGTTAATGTCTCAAAATTGCATAAATTTACGCCTTCGACATTAAAAAACTCATGTAAAGCATTAAAGTAAGTGTCTTGCTTAATATTAATGGTATAATTCTAGATAGGAATAGGATAGAGTTTATACATCAAAAAAGGCTTTGGGTTTTTTTGGTGTATATATTGTAAATATAATCATCAATTCCTTTTGAATGCTTACTGTTGCCGACATTTATTCGTAATACTTTATTACGTTGTCAGATGGGATTTGCTGATTCTTGGGTATATTTTTAAAGATATGATTGAGTTCATTGTGCTGCAATATAGTGTAATGCATAATGCCTGATTGTGCAAAGTTGATAGCGAGTTGTATGTGATTTATCAGATCTCGTATCTTGCTACTCTGCATACCTATTAATGTTATCTAGTATAAGGTTCAAAGTAATAATTGTCTTTAGATTCTGATTATTCGCAGAAATATTTTTTATTCTCTGTGAAATGACTACTTTTTTGTTCTCTATATTTAAGAATTGGTCATGAAAGGTCTTTGTTACTTGTTTAAGGATTTGTGCTTGATCTTTCAAATTTTCATTAATTGTCTGTTGATTTTCATTCAAGGTTTGAATATATGAGTCATATCTAGCACCGTCTTCGGCGTCAAGTGTTCCGGACAGCCATTTTTGTGCTGTTCCTACGAAATTCAAAATTGCGCGTTTACTTCGTTTTCGCGAGAAAAATTGCTTTAGGATTTGATTGTGATTGACAATATTTGTTTCGAATAAAGCAGTTTTGTGAATGTTCCATAAGAATTGCATCATCTAAATCTCCTTTGATTATTTGGAATGGGGTGTACCTATCCTGTGACACTGTGTATGCTATTATTATAATTTAAAATAGCAACAATCATGAGATCGTTTATGCTTTTGCGTTGATTTTGCAATCTTAGACTGGTTATACTTTCTCGTGAAATAGAGTGTAGCCTTTTAATTGAACTGTTAGAGTTCGGATTCCGGGGTGTCGTGTAATGAAATTCAATCTTGTGTAGGGTACATCAAGAATTCGGCTCCATTGTCTGAGGTGATGATTTGGGAAATTCCGTGAAATATTTTAGCAGCAACAACAGACGTCTTGCTAGTGATAGGAAGAGCTTGAGCGAACTTTGAAAAACTATCAATTATGTTAAGAACTTTTCGTTCGAAACAGTATTAGTATCCATATAAAGATGTTCGAAGGGTCTTGATCCGATAGGACGTTTTTTGTCATTGCGCGATGGGATGTTTTAGTTTCGTAAAACATTTGTATCATTTCTTTTTGTTCGACAGAATCTGCAATGTCCTCTATGAAAGAAATGGAAATTAACAGTTTAAAAGAATTCGAATTAAACGATGTTTGTAAAACACGTAAGACTATGGGCTCTAGAGTTTTATTATGGAAATACATACAATATGTATATGTAGGTGGCATATATTCTTTTATTAGTGTAATGATTTGTAAGTCTGAAGGGTCATTTGGTAAGAAGAATGTTAATCTCTTTTTGTTTGGGAAAGGTGAGCTTATTTCTTTTCGAATGGTATTTTTATTCGAATACCTGGAAATTACTTGATTAGGAAAGAGATTGATATGGTTTTTGGTATAGGGGGCTCCTAAAATAGGATTCTCTAGTGACGTATGAATGTTTTGTACGTCTTCTGGAGAATTTCCCTGAGGTCTCTTGGTGAAATAGGATTTTCAAGTGACGTAGGAATATTTTATACAGCTTCTGGAAGGTTTCCTTGAGCTTGTCTTGGTGGTATTATGATTTGGGACAGAATTTTAAATTTTGGAGGTGGTTTTTGTGGTATCACTATATCACGATGTGAGTTACGAGGTGAATCAGCTGTTAAAGTAGATTCTGAAAGTAACTTGTTTTCGTGTTCATCACCTATTCTTATTTCTTTACCTTTACTGATGGGTAATTTCGGTTTTTGGGGCATGAAAAGATTAGTACCTTCGAAATATTTTCGTAATATTTCATCATTATTTAAAGGTGTATCTTTCAAGATTGCTTCTAGGGTTTCGTGGAATTTTTCGTCAGAGTCAGTATATGAACTTGACGTATGAGAGAGATCATTGACCTGTGTAAAGGGGGTCTAGATAATGCATCTGCATTCATATTTAAGGTTCCTTATTTTTTATACTTGATTGTATAATCCAATTCGTCTAGTTTGAGCCTCTATCTGACTAACTTAGAGCCAGGATCTTTCACGGAAAATAACCATTCAAGTGGTTTATGGTCTGATAGTATTGTGAATTTGTGTCCGAACAAGTAGCGTCTAATAGCTATTTATGTATCAAGGGGATTATGTAGATTATAATGCCCGAAGGCGAAACTAGCCCGAGGGCCTCTGGCCCGAGGGATATATTTCGCCTGAAGGGCATTCTAATCTTAAAATCCCCGTGGTGCACACAATGCTTTATTTTCTACTCAACACAATGTTCTTTCATCAATTTATTATTAACAAAATCAGTTAAACTTGTGTGACAGAATATTGTTTTGTATTTTGACATGTATGCACAAAACATCCCCCCTTAGAAAGGTAAGTACCATGTTGAGAACCTGTCTATAAGTTTTCAGCGCCTCTAGTGACTGGAGGGGTCAGCTTTTGTAATTCTGGATTTATTGGCGAATGCAAAACGCAATTAGGGTTCGTTCGGTATCTTATTCGTTCCGGTGGATTGTTTGCACCATTGTTTGATTCTAGCGATTCAACACCACCACTTTAAAGTTTCTACTATTTTTTGGCATAAAATAATAATGTGCCAAAAAGAAGAAACTCATAAAATCGGTAGCGTTGAAGCGCCTTCAAGGTAAAATTGACTAAGAATTGAGATGACTTTAGATATTTATTAAAATTTGAAACAGAAAATATAATAGAATATGGGATTAATTAAAATTATTGCGAAACAGTTTTTTTTCATGTAGGTATACATACATAGGTAATGCTAGTTAAGTTGAAGATAATAAGGACAGTTACAAGAAGTAATGACGTACATTTAACAATAGCTTGATGAAAAACTTAAGTCGTAAATAAAATGACAAAAGAGGTCCTTTTCTCACAATCCAAAATCCTTGTTAACCTAACAAGTGAGGAAAGTGATACCTATTTTTCTGCACGTGATGGAAGTTGCACGAATGACAACAAAAAGCAGAGTTCGGGCAAGCCTTTGAGTCCAGCAAATACACTTTCCGCATGTGTTAGGTAGAAAGTTGAAAGTTTATGTAGTTATACATAATATAAAGCTCATTCAAGAAACTGATTTCGCCTGGATGATAGAGTAAATATTTTTGATAATAGTCTATACCCTTTACCACTAGATTTAAGCAAAGACAACGCCAACAACTTCTCGTCCAATGTAAATCGTCTTGCTTTAGGCTTTTGGTTTTGAGTACGGATTTGCTTAAAATAAAGCTGTATATCAGTGGATTGACATGGTCTACGAGCCTTTGAAATTTGGTTGATGATGCAAGTTATTCAGCAGAAGAAACTTTGGATTTAAATGACGACAACCTTCTACTGATTCTTCTTAACTTATTGCTGGATTCTATAACTTTGGAATAAAGATATTTTTCCCTTGGGGATAGGAATTTTTGCCTAGTGACGTTAATGTTCTTTAAAATTTGGCATCGTCTCTCATGACCTGCAAAAAAAAATAGATTAAGATTGGGGACGAGTATTTCGCACATTTAGCTTCTAATTTTTTCAGCATTCGTTTGCAAGTTTTAGTAATTAATAGTCTTTTATAGTAGTAGTCCTACTTGAGTTATGATGTTTTAAAATTCAAATACCTACTCCCAACTGGGTGGTTATTCATTAAGCAATAACACTTACCAATAAAAGTTTTAAGAGACAAAGTTGGTGACTTTTTCATGTTTGCAAATGTGATAGTTCCACTTGGTGTAGCAATGTCTGCCCGAATTGCCGAAGTTTCAGTAGATAAAAGTTGACAACGTGAAGGGCCTGGTTGATCTAAAACAGAAATTTGGTTAACAATGATTCTACCAAAAAAGTTTGGATACACGCATTGTAGAATATGGTGTACCTGTATGTAACCAGGAATATTTTAATTATTGTGTCTCCTGATAAAGGAATAAACATTAAAAAAAAAAGAAATGAATAATATTAGCTTTGTTCCAACACAGCAGAAAACCGTACAATGTACCGTCACGATTCTGCGCAGAAACTAAAATTCGTATACTGAGTGGTTTCGAAACCGTTCATGGGACGATTTTTTGACGTGTTGGAATAGACTTATTATGTTTACCTACCTATGTCAATCATAGTTGCGAAACTAATTTCTGAAGACGTCTTAGGACTCTTACGAGTTTCAACTGTGTCGATCTCCATTTTTTGCCATTTTGGTGATTGTGTTTCATCAATTAACGACTCCTCACTGTTTTTGATAATTGGGGCTAAAATTAAAATTAATTTTAATGTTTCTGACCTATGCTCCTTTAAACCCGAATTCTAACACGTTGTCGTTAATCAGAACTATAGGGAGGAGTAAGTGAAAATGTAAGTACGTCTTCTCACATATATCTAGTATTAACTTACCTTCAGGGAGATACAGCAAAAGCGCAGCATTCCATGTGAGTCCTCGTCTGGCTTTTGGATCGCCAACAATAAATTCTCGAGGAAAATGTCTTGTTCACACTCTTTAATTATTATAAGCCTTCTCGACACTGAGGCTATTTAGCAAAGGATTGCGAACTTTTATTAGCCATTGTTTCATTTTTTCGGCATCTTTTGGAAACCGGAAATAGCTGCTATATTTGTCGCCGCACCCCGGAACACAGCATTTCTGATGCTTTTCAATTAACAAACTGGGAGAAGACATTTTGAGATAATAATTATTGATAATTGATAGGTAATTGATAATTCTAAATGTTGGGAGAAGTTCAAAATTTAAACTTTAACGACTGGAAATGACAAAATAAACTTCAAATCTTGGCGCACGGTCCGACAGGAAAAAGAAAACTTTAATAGGTCGATTGAAGCGCCTCTAGTGATTGGAGGGGAAAGCTGAAACAACTAGACTGACGTCTCTCATAAGACTTACATTTCTAAGAGGGGATGTTTTGTGCATGTATGTACCTGTACCTGTGACCTGTACCTGTACCTGTACCTGTACCTGTACCTGTACCTGTACCTGTACCTGTACCTGTACCTGTACCTGTGACCTGTACTAGAAACGAAATAAATTAATATATCTATAAACATCTCATAAGGCAAGGCAACGGTGGTGGTCGCGTGGGTTAACGCGCTGGGCCGGTATTCTCGTTCCCGAAAACGATCACCGCTTTTTAGTCGCTCGGCACTTTTCATGATAATTCACATTGAAAGTGCCGAGCGACTTAAAAAGCGGTGAGCGTTTTCGAGGACAAGAACACCGGCCCTGGACTACATGGGAAACGTTGATGGTAGACCGGGTTCGAATCCTGGCTAGACCGAAAAATATTTTCGGTCAGACATTCAGTGGCTGCCTAGAGTAAAGTGCATAATAATAGAACAACAACAACAAAAACACCTCAGGGTATTATAAGCGGGCGTTATAGATCATAACGCCCACAAAAGCGGGCGTTATGGATCAGGTTGTTATAGGTATGTTAACGTATTTCGTTTCCTAGGTATTATGGATCTATAATAGTTAAGTAGAAAATAAAATACTTAGGTGCCCATACTATGGCTAATACTTATTTCTCTATCGTTGAATAATTGCATTCAGCAGAGTTTAGTGTGCGACTTGCATAGGCATTGGGAAGGTCTGAACCTATAGGTCCTTGTGATAGTACTGGGTGTTGTTAAATAGGATCATTCATGAGTAGGTTTTGCAAGTTTCAAAACTATGAATAAATTCAAAGTCATGAACTATTTTTTTATCCTTTTTTAAACATAACGTCATAGGTTTAGTGATTTTGGAAACGTTTCTTGTGAATTTACGATAGCATCCAATCAATCCTAAGAATGATTAGATCTCTTTAGTGGTTTTGGGAATTGAGAATCTCTTGATAGCGTCAATTTTTTTCATGTTAGTTGAATTTTTAAATTGCACTGCTCTAATCTTTGAAATATTCTTTTCAGATTTTTAATGTGTCCTTGGAGAGAAGTGGAGTAAACAATGATGTCATCCATATAGACTAAACATATTTTGTTTTGTAGTCCGGATAAAACAATCAGGCCTATGATGTATCCGGTCCTGTTATTTTAACGGCTGTGTTATGGCTCAACATCTATTGCTGTCTCTATTTTGACGTATAGAATAAATAGTGACAGATAACTTAACGTGGCTGTTAAAATAACAGAGAATGATACATCATAGGCCTGATTGTCCATCACTCTTTGAAAAGTGGCTGGGGCGTTTTTTAAGCCAAAGGGCATGCGTATATATTAATAATGTCCGTTTTCTACGTTAAAAGCAGTTTTAGGAATTGAATTTGGGTGCATTTCCACTTGGTGGAAACCAGAAGCTAGATCTAACGTAAAATAATTGCTTCTGCCAAACTTGTCCAGAATGTCAGATATATTTGGCAATAGATATCTGTCGTCGATCAATTTACGATAGTCGATGACCATTCGCCATTTCTGTTTGCCTGAAGCGTCTAATTTCTCAGGGATTATCCACACAGGGGATGACCAAGGGCTTGAGGACGGGCTAATAATATTTTCGTTCATCATTTTTTTAATTTGTTCATTGACCTCCTGTTTATGAACGTGGGGATAACGATAAGTTTTTACGTGAACAGGGATCTCGTCTGTTGTCTTTATTTCGTGTTTCACCTGATTAGTAAATGACAGGTTTCGTCTGGGGGGAGTATGTTGTGTGGAACCAGAGCGGTTATTATTATCTTTTCCCCAAAAATAGGTTTATTATGATATTTTCGCCCAGGGCGGCTGACGCAATGCTCTTGACCCTTTTCTCACCCATAGAAAGGATCGAGAGAACACAGAAAATCAGACTCTAGAATTAAGTAGGTAGGTACCTGACGCGACCTGATTCAGTGTTTTGGCAGTTTGTGTATTGATTTAATCCTAAGAAGTTCAATAAAGTTGTTATAAAAAAGTGAACTAGTATTGGATTTATTTACAGTTCTTTTAGAGTCTCCAGTGAACATAGACTCCCGCTTCTAATGTAGGTACTGATTTACGTTCAATTGCTTTCGTTTAGTACTCTCAGTAATGTTGACAGAAGTTCCTACTAATTCCAGTCTAGAAAGAAAAAAGGTAGAGAAGGACTTAGTACAGTATAATGCAACAATATATAAATTATTGTAAATTCTTGAATAGAAAATAGAAAACTCAAGGTTGGGCATGAGGACACGTTTCATCCACACAAACCACATCTATTGATCGGCAATCGTATCTCAAAGGTTTTCCTGTATAAGGAATTTTCTCCACGAAAAGAGATTTTTGAGCTCCAACATCCACAAATAAAAGTCCATGCTTGGCTTTTCTTCATAAATCTGAAATGTCTTTCTTTTTGAACTCTGGGTAAAATAAAACACATAATTTCAACTTGCAGACTGTATAAAAAGCGTTTATTTAAAGAGCAATCAATCATCGTATGCCATGTCTATTTCGCAAAAAAAGTACCATTTTTAAAATAATCTTATCACAGAGTCGATCAGATTGAAATTTTGATTTCGAGCATTGAAACCTCGTTTTATCTCCTCCCATTCCGTTCAGTGGTGGAAGGTTGAGAGGCGATCCATTCCAGCGCTTTCAAAATGTTTGGAGGTATCGGAGGTGAGGTCGGTAGGTGATTTCCTACTGGCTGGAATCCGCCTTCATCGTCAGCCGTGTAGGTCAAAGAAATTTGATTTCCTTCCGGGTCGGTGTAAGAAAACGAGCCTTGAGCTGCCAATGCTTCTGGATTTTCTGGGTCGTTTGTTTTCTTTACGTTGCCCTTTTCTTCGGCTTTTATACCGTTGGCACCTTCGTAACTGGAATAGAAATGACTGGAGGTTAAGATTAAGGGCAAGAGCCTCAGATTTCTCAGCTGTGATTACCTGCATTATAATGTAGTTCATAAATTATAATAATTGCCACTGCAATTTTTAATATTTTTGCATATAATTTTCATGTAACCATAAGTTATGTTTTTATTTGATTTGAAAACAAGTTTTTTAATGTTAGAACAAGTCAATAAAATAATCAATTTGTAAATCGATATTCTTAATTGATTTAGTCTGTGTTTAATAATGCCGCTTTATTGGCCTTTTACAGAATCGTTAAATAATCGTTAATCAATCGATATTGGAAAACTTGCTAAATCGTGTTTTTTTTTTTGAGAAAAGTTTGAGCTAAAAATGATGGGATATTTTTCGCTTGTGAGGTTATATTTGATATAAAATTCCTGGTTTTTCAAATGTCAACACTGAGCGGGAAAGACGGATGCAATGTTAACAAGAAAATTGTATTTGTCCAAATTCCGACCTGCAGTATGCAATATTTAAAGGTTATAGAATATGGGGATACCGCAGACAAGAAAATGATAATAGCAGCCCAGTAAACACAGTTACATAAATTTGAAGTAGGAATTTGAGTAATTGCATTTTTGGCCCTGAAAAATTTTGATCATCCGAAATATCTTCACAAAAACGCTCATGACTCAATTATTATTTAAAAATTCTAATGCATATTTACTTATTCTTGATCAGAAATAAATACTCCTTAAGATAAAATAAAATAAAAAATCATTTCTCTTAAATAGTTTTCGAGATATTGAGCCTCAAACTTGAAACTTTGTCTCAATTTTCGGAAAATCTTCAAAGCCCATTATCTCGAAAACGAAGCCCTAGGGTTCGATGCCCCATATAACTTTTTTTGAAGCCCCAATCGAGATCTACAATTGGACGAAATTTTGTGCCAATAGCTTCTCTGGTTTCTGAAATATGTCCCTTTAAAATGTTTGAAAATGAAATTTCCTTACACCTTAGAAAAATTTTAATTTTGATTTTTCAGAATTTCTTCATTTTTGACTTTACCAATCGAAAGAGGAAGTCCAATCGCTCACACCTCAATTATTATTTTAAAAATTTCGATAAATATTTACATATTCTTGATAAGAATTAAATACTCTTGAAAATAAAATAAGATTAAATCATCTATCTTAAATAGTTTTCGAGATGTTTTTTTTAAAGGATTTATTTCTGACCTCAAATCAGTTACATAACTGGTACCGAGGTCTTCAACTAAAATAATTATGAACAGAAAATATAGATCTATATAAAACATATGTATGTCTACACCTCCTCAGCACCCAAGAATTGAGCAATTGTTGCATGAATACTTTCAATGTGTGCTCCCCATGTCAGTTTTTCTGTTATTATAAGACCCAAGTATTTATATTGCTCCAGTTTTTTGAGAATTTTGCCATTAATTTTAATTGCTGAGCTTATTATTCTTTACCCCACCTGATGTAGGACCATATAGACTGTCTTTTCAACATTTATACTGAGTTTATTGTAGGAGAGCCAATCAAAATAGCGTAGGTATACTAAATCTTCATTCAAAATATTTTCAAGTTCTTTTCCATTTTCTCCAGAATATAATATGAAGACAGTATCATCACAAAACTTCACATATTTAGCTCTCAATCCAGCATACTTCAGACTTTGGACATATAGAAAGTACTCTAAAGGTCCTAGTACTGAGACTTGGGCAATACCGACAGATACATTTTCAGCGCTGCTTATTTCATCATTAACTTGGCCGCACTGTTTCCTGCCCACTGAATATGTTTTCAGCAAGTTATGGCATGTCCCTTCAAATCCCATTTTTTAAAACTTATGTAGCAACAATGCAATATCCACAGTATCGAAAGCTTTTTGTAGATCGACAAACACGCTTACAACGTATCTGTTTTTATCCAGTTCACTTGAGATATATTCTAAAAGATCCACTGTTACCCCAAGTGTACTACTTCTTTTTTGAAAACCATACTGGTGACTATCAATATTAAAGTGGGTATTTATGAATGAGACAAGCCTGGTTTTTATAATCTTTTCTGTAATCTTGCTGCATGTACTCAGCAGTGATATTGGTCAGTAATTATTTAAATCATCAGGTGCGCCCTTTTTATATACCGGCACAATTTTTGCAGTCTTCAGCTCTTCAGGATATTGTCCACTTTCTAGGATGCATTTGATAATTTCTGTATTTTAGGTCCGATAATGTTAAAAAATGTTTCAGTGTCTTTTTTTTTGTCCAAACCAGGAGTACAATTGTGTTTTAGCTCTTTTATTGTTTTTTCGACTGTTATGTTTATGTGTTGTAGTAAAATGCTTTATCTTTCTTCTTCTTCTTGAAACGTTACTCCTGTTCTGCTATTTATTTTGGTTGCTAATGTCAATCCAATGCCTGAAAAATGTCCATTAAAAGCTGCTGCAATATCTGCATTCTTGCTGCAGGTATATCTTTCCATCATTATCCATTACTCAATTTATATTCATTTTTCTATTAGTTCTATTACAAAGTCCATTCAGTACTACCCACGTTTTCCTGGAATCTCCCTGTGCTTCATTGAACTTCTTTTCCGCATTCTCTACGTGTAATTTAAGTCTAAGCCTACTAAGTTTATTTTTCGAATCTTTAAATTCTTTCTCAGTGTGTTCGTTTTGTGTCCTTTTCCAACTCACATATAGTTGGTCCCGTTCTTTTAATTTTCCAATACATGCACAAATTATCATTTCTCACTTTTTTCGTGGTCTGCTTAGTACATTCTTTTTTTGTATTGTTTATATTGTTTATAAGAGCTGCCAGTGTCTCCAATTTACTACTATTATTATTCTCATATATGTTTTCCTATACCTAAATTTTCAATTTTCTGGTGTATATTTTGTAATTTTTTGTTTAGTATTTTTAACTAAGATTTTTTTGACCTCCAAAAATATGATTCTATGGTCAGAAATATTGTGATCTTCTATTTCTATTAGTCATTATATGATCAAGTATGGTGTCTGTGTTTGCTGTTGTTCTTGTGGCATTTTGACGACTGATTATATTTTGAATTTTATATCCATTCATCTCCACCATATTTTTATATGTGGTAACTACCTGTGAATTTTTTAGGAGATCCAGGTGTATAAATAATTCGCTTTTGTTTTTTGGAGGTCTATATACATCAAAGACTGTCATGTTTTGCTGTGGTAAATATTCAGAGACCATGCTACAATTTGTCATACAAGTTGTTGGTTTGCTGTTCAAAACGTATGTTTTTTTTTTCAGATAAAGTATATTCCTAATGCATTTCAATTATTCAAGATCTTCTTGGCTTCTTATTCTAATGGGGCCGGTCGCTTTCACTTTTCTTTAGGTAGGTATAGGTACTTTGTCATTTGTTACAAATGCTGCCTTATAATTGTTCTCCTTCCTATACTCCCTTGCTTTCTTGTAAAATAGCTGGTTTAAACGTGTCAGATTTTTATTGAAGAATATGTTCTTATTTCCTCCGAGTAACCCACACTCATTAAGCATTATTCCTTTCAACTGTTTAATTTTCTTAAGTATTGTACTTCTAATTTCATGGGTTCTCAATTTCAACATTACAGGAGCATCTTCTTTGGAATTTTATTCTGTAAATTGGCTTGAACCTTGAAACATTGTCTCAAATTTTGGAAAACCTTTATAGCCGATTATCTCAAAAACGAAGCCCTAGGGCTCGCCTCCCAAAATAACCTTTTTTGAAGCCCCAATCAAGATCTACAATTGGACGTACCGATAGTTTTATTGGTATACTGGTTCAGTAAATTTTATTTAAATATTATTAGTATTCACATAAGATTCACGTTAATATGATATTAAGAACAGTTTACATAATATTTATATACCTAAACTTGATATTATGAAACTAATGCTGATAAAAAAATGTTTTCAAATGTACCTATATAAGCTTTAGGTTAATATCACAGATGTTTTTACTAGAAGGAAATGTAATTTTCAATGAGAATACATTTCGAAAAAATAGAAACGAGCAGCAATAAAACTGAAATATTAGAGAGGAGAGGAAGAGGTGGAGAAGAGGACATAATACAAGAAGAAGAAAGGAAACAAATACAAGATGAAAGACAAATAGAACAAGAAAAGAGAAAACAGACGCAGTGAATTTGAAATATGGCTTTCGATGCATGTAGATTTGACTGATGATAAGGAATAAGAATTCATGGGTAAAAGCAATGGGGAGAGGATTTGAAAGGAATTAAACTCAGAACTGTCAGGTACTTCGAGAAAAATACTCGAAATTGTACTTCAAGTTCATGACAATTTTACTTCAACTACAGTGGATAAACGGTATTTGAACTATTATTAACAATGTACTTTTAATTGTGTTTGATTTCATCAAGTACCGGGTGTCAAGTTATGAAGTACCACCCCCTGTAACTTTTTGATTTTTGATCGCACCCCAAAAAGAAAAAAATCGCCATGTATGGGAAATTTATGTATTCCAAATGATGATAATAACTTAAAAGTCCGTATTCAAATATACGGGGGGCAGTGAAAAGTATACAATGTGTACAAGATAAGGAGGGCCAGTATGGGGATCTGATGATATGGTGGCCTAAAGACGAAACGTCGGATTACAAATTTGATAATTTCATATTGTAGAGAAGGAAAAATGGCAACGACGAAGTGCCATTTATTTTGAAATATCTCTTCAAATAGAGTCAGGAAAAAATAAAATCGTTTTGGGCGAATTTTGGGTTTTTCTGGATATCTCCGGTAACACTCGGAATATTTTAAGTATCAGTGCGGTATTTCAATGAGCACAAAATTGCCCAACTTTTTCCTAATTTGAGCAACATCGTATCTTCCATTGCTTACGAGTTTTCCATACTGGCCCTCCTTATCTTGGACATGTTGTATATTTCTCAAATTATACATCCTGTATATTATGTCACCATTCGATACATATTTTCAAACCCTATTCAGTAATGCCTTATTTATCATATTTTTTATACTTAATTAAAGTAAATTAACTAACAGAAAATACTGAATTAATAGGTATCTGAATCTAGTTGAAAATAAAAACTTGTGACAAATCAACATTATTTTTTATTTCCTACTGAACTATTATAACCATATAATACCTTGGTTACAATAATCATAAGCAGGGTCTTAACTCCCAAGGGAGTTAAGGATTTCCATAATTCCCGCTTTTAACTTGAATAGGTGAAACTTGGTTTATGGTTTATTCCTTTATAAAACTGACCAAAATACAGTAAATTCAGTAAGAAATAAAATAATCTATGTACCACGGGAATTATCAGGTGTTAATACACACGGGCAATTGGTGTCCCTCGGGCCGAAGGCCCTTGGGACATAAACTTTGCCCTGGGGTATTAACTCATAATTCCCTTGATACATAAATAACTACTATTACTGGTCGGAACGAATATTTCCTCCCTGATTAGCAACACATTCTTCAAAACATGTGTGTGGGTGAACTAACGCATTTTCTATTTTATGTGGCTCCTGTTCATTTAATATTTTGATCTCTGGCCTAATAAAATACTTAATATCTTCTGTGTTGCTAATGTTCAATTTCTTAATTTTACGTTTTATATGAGGATATATAAAATATAAGAAATTATCCAGTGGTGTTAAGTCGGAGCTATTTGCTGGCCATGAAGTTTTCTCATTTCGTCCTATCCATTCATTAAAATTCGTATCAAGATAGAGTTGCACTCTTTGTATTACATGTAGTGGAGCACCATTATGCTGAAAAATAATACTCCCATATTGCCTTAGAGGCTGTTCTACCTAATTTTCTAGAAAAACGCGATAAAGTGGACCAGGTAGTGTATTTTCAAAAAAATACGGCTCGATAATTTTTTTACGTAGAATTCCACACTACACATTTCCTGTTTCACGACCTTGAAACCGAACTTCTCTTAAAAAGTTTATATTCTCACATTGTCTGAAATTGTGACGATTTGGTATGCCACTTGTGGAGAAGCTGGATTCATCTGTCCATAATATGTTTTTAAAAAAATCCCTATCATTCGTAAATATATTCAACATTAAGTTGCTGAGCTAAAGTTTCTGTTGTTTATGCCTCTCAGTCAGCTTTTGAACTTTATGGAATTGTAAGCCTTAAATCCGTAGGTACTTTTTAAGGACCTTATGAACACTTTCATCTGAATTTCCTCTTCTTTCGAACTATTCTCGAAAATCTTTTGATGATACCTACTCTAAGTGTTTTCATCGGATTTTCTACATAGTGCAAAAAAATTACCTGCTTTCCCTTCTTGTGAATAAACCATTGGAGTAAACCATTATTCTATTGGAAGCAAATAACACAGAAAAATCACTGATCGATGACAGTGACAGAACAACATAAACAGCTCCAACGAGAAAGACTATCAGAAAGATAGATACGACAGTTCGAAGAACGTCGACTCTACAAAGAAAGAAACGATATTGTTTTGCACTATGTAGAAAATCAGATGAAATCACTTGAGAGTAGTTTATGATACGATTTGCAAGAAAAGTTTGGAAGAAGAGAAAATTCACATGAAAGTGTCCGCAAGGGGCTAAAAAAGTACAGATTTAGGGCCAAATTATGGACCAACTGGTAAGTGTCTGGTTGTTACCTAGCAGGTACTTTCTATTCTCTAGTGCATAGAAAGTACCTGCTAGGTAACAACCAGATGTTTACCAGTCAGTCCATAATTTGGCCCTTAAGGATTATAAATTTCAAAAAGTTCAAAACTGACTGAGAGGCATAGAGAACAGTGGCTCTAGTTCAGCAATTTAATTTTAAATATATTTAACATTAAAAGGGATTTTTTTTTCAACAATATGGACATATGAATACAGATTTTCTACAAGTGGCACACCAAATCGTCAAAATTTCAGACAGTGGGCAACTCAGGGTGTATAATTCAAAAAATATATACTTTTCACTGCCCCCCGTATATTTGACTAGGAACTTTCACGTTATTATCAGCATTCGGAATACACAAATTTCCCATTCATGGCGATTTTTTTCTTTTTGGGGTGCGATCAAAAATAAAAAAGTTACAGCGGGTGGTACTTTATAACTTGACACCCGGTGCAAGGATTTGAAGTATACTGGAAGAAATACTTAATATTTTTAAATATTCAAAGTGACACTAGACATAAGAGGCTGCTTGTTGGGTTGTTGGTGAATTTTTGACAAAGGTTCCAAGAAAAATAATGAATGAAAAAATTGTCATGTTTTATATTTGTGAGGAAGACCCATTATAATGTATTTGAAGTACAAGTACTTGAAATACTTCAATTGTAATTCAAGTTAAGAAAGTACTTTTATTAGGTACTTGGTAATTGGGGTAAATTTGAGAAAAAAGTCTACTTTGTAGGTACTTCAATTGCAATTGCTTCCACAAAACTTCAATTTGAGGAAAACCGCCTATTTGAAATATTATTTCTACAAATCTTTTTTTTTTTTTTAATGTTTACTGTATAGAAAATCAAATGGTAAATGTTGCAACCATGTATGCGCTATCAAGTAGGGGCGCCACAGAAAAACGTACCGAATTATTGAACGAAGGGTAGAGAGAAAATGAGAGACCTGAGGGAACAAGCTTGTCTGCCATTGTTCAAAATTCAATTTGTATTTTGTATTAAACTGATTGTTCAACCAATTTTCTGATTAGTTTGTGTGTCATAAGGAGCATTCACAGGTCAGTTGGATAAATGTTACTTTTTTTTCTGAGAGTTGTCAAATTTATACTATTTTTCATTTCTATGTTTTTTTGTTTGTTTATAACATTTTTTTATAACATGTGCATTGTTTATGTATTTAACAAAAAAATCGTTTCGTGTGAACAACGCAGATAGGAAACTAAATTTAAACCTAAGAAATTATGTGCTGTCTTTTGTGCTCGGATTTTGATTTTTGGTATTCAGAGCGTGCATTAGGGCCTTGTTGAATTTACTAACACTTTCCTACCCTGACTAGGCAAATATCCTAGCAAACAAAAAAAGATCAGTCTAGAGATATTGGCTCAAAATAACAACTATAGCTGAGTAGCCTCCCGAATGGGACCTCAGTACCTGCTGGCGGACTGGCTAACTAACCAAAAACTCTCCAGTATTGAATATAGGTGGTGTTGATTGAATGTAGTGTGTGGAATTTAAATTTTAGCACAAGGACAGGGGCGGTACCTAATTTAAACTTTTATTGACTCACAATTATTATAAAAATGTCACAGTATGTTTTGATTTTTGAGGAATGGAGATCGAGGGTTTCTCTGTCGTGTTCTTTCCCCTCGTGAGTTCCAGGTTGAGAACAGTACGATTTTCATTGAATAATAAATTAGACGTTTCACGAATTTTTCGTTTACATATCATAACTTCCCTCAAATTTCCTTAATTTTGCTATTTTCGGGCGCACGTCAAGAGATAATAATAGTATATTTTCTACTGACGTTTCATAATACGCCTAAAATCTGTTTCATAATGAACTTCATTATGATACAGATTTTCATTATGATACAGATTTTTCAGCCACTGAAATCGAGTATTTTGAACATGAACAATGTTTATATAAAAATAACAGACATGCTTTGAAGTTTTGGATCGTTTCTATTAGTATTTACCAGAAGGAACAACAAAAAATTAATAAATGGGGTTCGGAATTTATGCCCAAATGACGTCTATACTTTATTTTTTTCCAAGATAGATTTTGACATTGTCAACTTTGAAACATAAACAATGCCGCTAATGCAACTTATTGGCCGCTATTGTAAAACTGATGTCAACCTGCAGAAACACCTCATTTTGCGACCAATCAGGGTCAAGCATTATTGTTTATGTTTCAAAGTTTTCAATGTCAAAATCTATCTTGGAAAAAAATAAAGTATAGATCTTAATTTTTGAAATTGTCAAGTTGTCAACAATTGTCACCGGTTGAGAAGTTTACTATTCTTATAAAATAAATATGTTTTTCGTTTATTAATGCAAGTAGAAAAAATAGCGTATGCAACTCTCATGTAATGGCCATTAATACTTGATCATTGCATAATATACTATTATGATATAAGTGTATAAGAGGGTTTTTAAAGCACGCGCGACATATTTCAAAATACGACGCGCAGCGGAGTGTTTTGTAAGTAGCAAGGGCTTTAAAGGCCTCTTATACACGCATATCATACGCTATTTTATATTACAAATGCATCATAATCTCAAAAATGTTTTAAATGTGTTCATTCATTTTGATGAATATAGTAATTTAAACGGCAGGTGTATATCTAGGTAATGAAGGTAGATCAAACGTTTCTATAGCAAAACTTTGAAAAGGTAGGCGCATCATAAACATCATTTTATGCCCGCTGCAGCGTGCGATAATCGTTGATTATGATGCATGCGTAATATAAAAATTCTAACCGTTCAATCTGACTGAACGAACCCGGGTATGTTATACTACAGATTACTTTGTTTATATTTGTTCTCCAAGTTCTTTATGTACTTATGACAGCTCTTGGATAGAGGTTAAACATGCTGAAGTATTGAATACAAAATGGGCATTTACCAAAAAACCATTACAACACTTCGTTGTAAAAAAATTTGCAGCAATGAGAACTTTATTATCTATTGGAAATCAACTCAAAATTAATGTATTGCAAGCAAATAGACGTTTTTAAATGATGATTCCAAGGAATCCATACATACCTCCATTCATAATTACCCTCTGGGGAAATTTCATTGGTTTGACTAATAATTTTTATCGGTTCCGGAGTTTGTCCTTGCGGTGCTCCGCTTATAATACATATTGATCCAAATATGACACCTAACTGGAAAAAAATATATCAAAAATCTACACAACATTCTTCAACTCCTAATCAAAATTAAATAAACACGAAGACGTTATGCAAATTGTTGACATTTTATTGTATCGGAGTTTGATATTTTTTTAAAACTTTGATTGACTAGAGACTTTGATGCTGTGATAGATTTGATCAAATGATATGGATATTTGCAAAAAGAGTTTATCCTATATTTGATAGATATTTTTCATTACCTAACATGAGAATTTTTAAACTAATGAAATAAAAACTCTTGATGTTTAGGATATCTATGGATCTCATAAATAGAAGAGTAGAACAAATTTGGTAAAAAAAAAACTTACTTCAAAAGCTTCAATTTTTACTAAAATTAGTTAAGTTTACCCGCAAATTCAATATGAAAATTACTTTGTTGAACATTGACTATAGAACTAAATATTATTGTTGTTCGATTCAAACTTACCCTGACCCAATCCATCCCAGAAAACCAAACCACACAACCTTATACAGTAAAACCATTAAAAACAATTAACCTGTGGCGTATTTATACCTAGAGTTTTATATAGAGGTATTGTTTTTCGTCCCCCCTTGTATAACTATTACAACATGTTAACAAACATCTTCAAATGGCACACACACACAAGCAATCGTCCAGCATGAAAATGCACGTTTTCTGGGAAATCTAAAGAATTGATTGGTCAATAATAATGGCTTAGTACTGTCGTAGGTACGTGCTTATTTGAAAATAATGTCCTTTTCGTTTTCTTTTTTTTTATTGTTCACCTATATTTATAGTTGCGTAGGTTATTTTATCTGTATGTACAAGCATTCTTGCTGATTTTTTTCAATAGCAATTGCTATTTATATGATGGGAAAAACAGAGATCGTTTTTGTGGAGACTGAGGTATTAAGAATTCGACTTATCGTTCATGGTATTCAGACGGAAGTTCGCACGAATACCAGGAAGTTTGAAGTCGAAGAGGTATAGATATAAGAAATATCTATGAAATGAAAGATGAGAAGTTTCTTCCCACTCGGATTTTACAAAGTTAATTTTCATTAAGACTAAATCGTGAGGCTCTTTAATAACTACCATGGACTTCTAAAGTATGCTTTTCACATCAATTCACCGGTAGCAATCGATATTTCAACCAGAATGATTTAATTTGATCGATTACCACGATAAAGAAGAATCGTTTGGAAATCCGTGATGTTAATATTTCATCGGCTGTCCACTTATGCATTATCGCCTGAGGAATAATATGAAAATGCGTGAACACGGTCGCGACATTGGCATTTCCTTTCATTCGTGACTTATTATAGTCAGGACGGTTATAAACAAATGTCCGTAAGATATTGAGCAATAAAGAAACAACCCATCCCATAATTTTGCTATTAAATAGGGTCGAAATTGATCCATAATGTTGGTAAGGAATTGCATTGGTGCCAATGAAATTGGATGGCCATCTAAATATACGAGATACTTATTCCCTATTTTCACCAGAAATTTTAAGAACAAAAAATCTAGTGAATTACGGAACAATGGAGAATACATAATTATTGATGTTTATAGGAAGTTATATCCAAAATCCCAGAAGGATCCAAGTAGTAGGTATATCTCTATATGAAAGAATGTATACGTGTTTTTTTGATCTTATAAAAATATATTGTCACAATCAAATGAAAATTGCTCAACACTTAAATCTTTGATGAGCGATAATTTGCCATATAATAATATTAATAAATTTATTAGACCCGCCTTGTTAATTGCCAGGCCATTAGCACTTTATTGCGTTGTTATTCCTCGCCCAGTTGACATATTGCATTATGAATATGCAATCTTCAATAAATAAAATTCACCTCTGAAAAGAGTGACTTTTACGGATATTTTCAAATCCACATTTTTTTGTCTTTGATGATGATGTTCAAAAAACATTTTCAGATTTTCAAACAATGTCGATTCTGTACCATAAAATGTTCCAAAAATATATTTTTTGGATACCTACCTATATATACCTACTTATAAAAAATGTACTTAATTCAAAGACAGAACACTGATACCTACTACAGATTACTGTCAATTCTATAAATATAAGTTATATTAACCACGCTAATTTATAATCAAGAGACAAATTTTGAAGAAAATCAAGTCGAAACTGAAGACGAAAATATTCAGTTATCAGCCTTGGATGCAATAAGTCAGCATTCGGCCCTATTCACGTGTGTCCTTGGATATTGGTTATTGGAAAACTGTAAAAATATGGTGGATTGTTATTCAGGAGCTCCTTGGTTGTCGAATTGAATATGGGTTATTGAATGTCATATTGGTTATTGAAATTGACATCGAATTTCTTATTCAGGTGTATTATATTTTCCAATAACAGTTTTCAGTGTTTCATATTTTGTAAGCAACTGGTTTAGGCACCTGCTTGATAGATTGGATATTGGAAAACTATTGATTTTTGTGTTATGTTTAGAATTCAGAAGTGACTGTGGTATTTTATTTTCAATTATGGATAATTTTCTGTTGCTAATTGCAGCATTAAAAGAAGAAAATCGAGATTAAGAAAATCAACAAGCAGAGTCCCTTGGATAACTATGATCGTATTATACTTTTTAGACTTGAACACAATCAGAAAAAGTAGAACCTTCGGGAGAAAAGCAACCCTCTGGATTTGCCAAAAAATATTTTTCCTACAACTGCCTCTGAAAATGGAGTTTTTCACACGCTGCTATCAGTTTTCTATTTATTTTAGTCCTATCATCCTCGCATAACATAACATGACATAAGTAATGAATTGCGATTGTCCCAAATTTCCAATTTCTGATGTTGATTTGTTCTAACAAATAAAAATAACATATTTGGTTGTTTTATTTTGCAGTTGTAGTTGTAGGAAAAGTATTGTAAAAAACTCGTTTGAACACGTTTTTTCACAGTCGCTCGACTTGTGGAACTCGCCTACGGCTCGGTCCAACAAACTGTCTCGCCGTGCGGAAAAAGTCGTTTTCAAAACTTGTTAAAAAACATCTACAGGTTTTCGAAAAATACTGCAAGGTATCTAATCTAATTGAGGAAATTGGGCAATTTCTTCCAGATGCAGAACGTCCGCATTGCATCCCAAAATCTGTGATTATTTTAAGCGCATTGTATTTTTGATGTGCGTTTACTCCATTATAAAAGTGGGTATGACTGAGTATGATAAAGAGTCACAAAAATGCCAATGAGAATTGACAAATAAATTCAAATAACTAAGAAAGAAATAATAACTTTTTAAATTCCAATCGAAGTCGGCTAAATCAGGCAAGGCACAAGGCACTTAAAATAAATAAATAAATAAACTCAAACAAAACAACAAAATGAAAAGTGAGGTTACATTTTAGAAGGTATTTGACAATTTTACAGTGTTGCCGCCTTAACTTATTCAATTAAAGAACAGTTTTCCAATTTCCAACAATCCCGTTTTCAAAGGGTAGGTACACGTGAATAAGAAATCTCTTCAATATTGAAATGTCTCAATATCCAATATTGAAAAATTTCAATAAACAAGCGGACACGTGAATAAGGCTGAATAAGTTTTTTAAATGCTTATCAAATCAACCAACTGCCTTTTAGTCAAATAGACTATCCACCGTGTGAATTATTAATTGACACAGGAAGTCATGTCTCTTCAATAAAACCCTCAATCGCAGAAGAATATTTTTCAAATTCTATAATTAATTCACGAAACAAGTTAACTACTTGTATGGGTACCTACAAGAAAAACCCAAGGAAAAATCACTGTTCCAATTTTACAAGAATATAATATTCAGAACAACATTGAAATGATAATGTACAATTTCCATGACTATTTTGATGGAATTATTGGAATCAAAGCATTACAAGAAATTAATTTAAATACAGATTTTTCTAATATGCTTCTTTCTAATAATAAAACAACAATTCCGTTTCAATATAGAACAAATTTCGAAAATCAAAATTTTGAGAATCCAAGCAACTCAATTCAAGTATGTTATTTCAATACAAATATAGCTGATGAAATTGGAATTCTTACATCACCGATAAAAAATGAAACATATTATATTCCTTCGACAATAGCAACAGTCATTAATGAAATAATGCCTTTAGTAGTAGACAACTCAATCAATAAGCCTATTATTGTCCTGCGTATAACATAAACACTTAGCGGAAATAAGTTTACCTCATGCTGATGAACAGTTTGAGATATTTAATATAGAAAAACATTTAAACTCTGAGGAATTTGATGCTTTAAAACACGTAATTAAAGATTTTCCTTAAATTTTCCACAAGCCAAACGAAAAATTGACATTTACCAATCAAGTTAAACATGCAATTAAAACAACAGACGATATCCTTATGTGCATAAACCAGAAGTAAATTCTCAAATAAAGAAAGTTAGAAGATAACATAATCAGACCATCCTGTAGTCCCTGGTCATCCCCTGTGTGGATAATGCCTAAGAAAGAAGATGCCGCAGGCATACAAAAATGGAGAATGGTCGTTGATTTTCGAAAGATAAACGAAAAAACTATTGATGATAGATATCCATTACCTAATATCACTGATATATTAGACCGACTTGGTCGTAGTAATTATTTTACGACACTAGATTTAACCTCTGGCTTTCATCTATTCAAGATGCATGAAAATTCGATACCCAAGACAGCATTTAATGTTGAAAATGGTCATTACGAATTTAACAGAATGCCCTTTGGATTAAAGAATGCACCAGCAACATTCCAAAGACTGATGGATAATGTATTACTAGGATTACAGAATAGAATATGTCTAGTATACATGGATGATATAATAATTTTTCCCACTTCACTTCATGAAGTCGTGAAAAATTTAAAGAAAGTATTTGAGAGACTCGAGAAGTTTAATTCAAAAATACAATTAGACAAATCAGAATTCCTACACAAGACAGTCGAATTCTTGGGACACGTAAATACACCAAATGGAATAAAACCAAATCCAAAAAAAATAATGGCAATTAAAAAATTCCCAATACCAAAGACGGTGAAGGAAATAAATATATTTTTCTACTGACGTTTCATAATACGCCTAAAACCTGTTTCATAATGAATTTCATTATGATACAGAGTTTCATTATGATACAGATTTTTCAGCCACTGGAATCGAGTATTTTGAACATGAACAATCTAATATATAAAATTCTCATGTCGCACAGTTTTAGTTACCTTCGTCCTCCGAAACGGCTTCACCGATTTTTATCTCCACCGAAATACACATACTATTTTTTCTGCGATCGGTTAAATACCTGTTAAATGTTTGTCTTTTGGTTCCAAATATTCAGTAGTACGAGAATCACTTTCCCGGCCTAGGCCGGAAAAGTGTTTCCCGTATTGTTATTTATTGATTCCTTAGCAACTATTGAAACATAATTGAAATGCCAGAATATTGAGTTTTGCGACCTGTCAACCAGAAATGGCTTCACATCTACATTTAAGTTATAACCTACCTCAAATATATCTGCAAGTTGGGCTTCAATTGTTCCCTGGAGAGCCTCTGGTTTTTTTTTTTAAATAACCATGGCATTTTAATATTTCCCTCTTTTTTTCTTCTGAGATTATTGTCGGCATCTTCAATACGAAAGAAATTTGACAATGCCGAATTTTAAAAAATGTCATTAGATTTTGGAGGTACGCAAAATAGTTAGGTACCGTTTATAATATAGAATTATTGAAAAATGCATTGAAAAATGTGTCAAATTTGATTTGCCAGATAGGCCAGAAAATTTTAATACCGCGGCACTTACGAAATTATGTAAACCACACTTAAAACTGTCTGGAATTTGACATATACTGTCATTATTATACGAGGGTCAACCTGCCAAATTTCCATGGATAATGCTACGCCAATAATAAGTGAAAAGCATATATATAATCAATAACCAGAAATTTCTGACCATTATTGATAGCTTTTCAAAATTTGGTCAAGCTTCTTCTGTAAATACGAAAACAGCTGTAGAGATATCATCACAGTTAATGAAATATTTTAGTGATCACGGAATACCTGAAAAAATCACATCAGATAATGGAGCAGAGTTCAAAAATGCTATAATGACAGATCTTTCTACATTATAAAAAATTGAGGTTCATTACACAACTTCAAAAAATCCGAACTCGAATAGTCCAATCGAAAGATTCCATTCGACACTACGTGAAAGTATAACGAGTTTAGAACTCCAAAACCCGAATAAGAGTATTAGGTATTGATCTAATGACAATCGCTATTGAATTATAACAACAGTAGGTACTCATAGTACAATGAATCACACCCCTTTCCAAGTGATTAAAGGAGATTTGAATTAATAAGGTTAGTAGAAACCCTTGGGAATTTAAATAAAGAAATACAAGAAAAAAAAAAGTCTTTAGAATCACGCAATAAAAATCGCGAACTCGAACCAGAATTACAAGATTCAATCTTCGTAAAACAATTTAATAGAGACAAGATAAGTCCGCGTTATGATAGCAAAACACAGAATCGCTTTGCTAAACAAAATGTTAAACGACAGTAATTTATTTCAGGTACCTCGAGATGAATCCTTTAGTATTCCATACTCTCGTTGGAGTCACCCAAACATATACATTGATGTCAGTAGAAAATTCTTTCTCACCAATTTCTTTAGAAACTACGTACGTAACAACTCAACATAACACGGCCTATTATCACATAAACACGACAATTATCATAAAAAGTATCAATAAACTGGAAATAACTTTAATGAAATTATCTGAGACACTAAATAAAACGACATGATCAAACAATTTGTTGCACTGTTTCAAACAAATAATTGAAAACAGTTATTCTCAAATTAAGATTATTAAACAAGTCATGAAAACCTACCAAGACCGAAAACGTAATAAAAGAGGTCTATTAAATTTCATGGGCACAGCACAAAAATGGCTCTACGGAACCCTAGATGCTGAATACGGCGCAAGATATGATTCTTGTATCCAGACGCTCAATTATAATCAAAAGACTCTCAATGAAGATCTAAAAACACAAGCTCAAGTATTGAAACAATTTACAAAAACATTTCACGATCAATTTCTAACTATTGAATCTAACCAAAAGGTTATCACAGGAAAATTAAAAAATATTTCTTTTAAGGAAGTAGGAAACACTTCATTGCTGCAAAAAAACGAAGGATTTGAAGATTTTTGGATTTCCTGCAAGTTTAGCTCTCATAATATACGTATGTATGACAGATTTCCTTAGACCAAAACCTAAATATTCCAATAAATCGACAAAAGCTGATGTAACATACCATGAGATTTTTGAGCATATTTTACCAGATTTAAAGATAAAATTTCTTTTGAATAACGAAGTTCTTACTGTCTCCAATATCAGACATCTACTTCACGCGAAAGCTAAGGACCACAACATTTACTGGACTGAAACATATCCAAAAAACTATGAGTTATTGGGAAAACTAAGAAGCAATTTCGGCGGGAACATCATGATACTAAATCGAGGGCAAGGTCTTTTTAACTATATTATTTCAACTAGTTATCTTATTGATACAGAACAGGAAGATAGCCCCACAAATAAGAGTGAGGAAAATGTGTAAAAAATATCAGTGAAAGAGATCAGCACTCTAATCAGTAACAATAACTAGAAAATTTTCAAAAAAAATCTTGTTTGTTGAACGATTCACACTTGGGAGGAATCCTTTAAAATAGATGAGATTCCTGCTATATGTAATATAAAAATTGCTAGATCTACAGATATACCTTGAACGGAGAGCTACTGCTTGCCCATAGAATTACAAAATTATACTTGACGATTCTGTTGTCATAACCTCCTTCTTTTTTTTGCTTTTCTAAATAATTCTGTACTGCGGGTGTAAAAGCTCGAGAAAAAAAAATCACAATTTGCGAAACCCACGCTAAAAATAAAACGAGAATTTAATATTCCTGACATTCTTTTTAATCTGTGCAACTTTGACATTTTGCAAGGGAAACAAATAAGCATGGCGCTAATTTATTTCAAAATATTACAATGTAAAAAGAAGACGTTCCTCCAATTTGCATTTTTAGAGATAGAAATAACTAGTTAGGTATCGATTATAGGCAATCAGATGGGTGCAAGTGCTATTTTTGACTGCTAATTGCGAAAGCTTTAATGAATGTCGCTTCATACTTATTTCTCAATCTGTTTGATATTTTGATGCTACAAACCTAATTGTCGAATTCGATGAATGTCATCAAGAATCATTATGCTTCAAGGTAAGGAAAAAATGCAACACTGCATTCAACTATACAAAGAGAAATGTAGACTTTTCAGCAAAACGAGAGCTGGATGTTGTAGGAACTTTTTCTGGAAAAGCCATCTCAAGCTTCAAGAACTATTATCTATCAAATGCTTCAGAAAAAGGCAACCTAGAATCAATGAAGAACAAATCACAAAAGAATTGTATCAATGCAATTGGTATCAGAAAAAAGACAACCAATTTTGAGAAATTGAATGTGAAAGAAGATCTCGAAAAATCATAATCAAAACATTAAGAAGAAGAATCTTAAAATTATTACAACATGCATTTATAGCAAAATTACTAAATTTCATTAGTCATCAATTACTGGCTAAAAATAAATTGAATTTTTTTTCATTAATAATCAGTGGATACGCAAATTATTTGGATGTTGCAAAAGCTTGCCAACATTGACACAGTTATTAAAATAATCCTCAACAAACAAGTAGCATTTAACAACAACAGTAATAAATTGTTTAACTATTATTATGTATTTATAAATTTTTACAAATAATAATTGATAATCTAAGCTGACATTTCGCCAAATTAAATAGTCTGTGATCTTAAGTCAAACGGTTTTACGTAACTGAGATATGAGGATGGGTTTAAAAACGTCTGATGGTTTATCTGGTTCATCTGGTAGGACACCCAAACAATGCTCCCATACAAATTTATGATTCGAGCGAGAATCGTGACGCGAGATCAAGACCGTCAATTTATTGTAACATTTCGATGGGGCTCGAAGAAAGTTATGTGGAAAAATGATGACATTTGGAATTTATAAATGGACTATTTAAATATACTACTACTTAAAAACCAATAGTAAGTTGTATTTTTTTGAGAAATTAATTTCCCAAAACATAGAAAACTGGGGACACTGTAAATGGATAGAGAAAAATTCTACCAAAAACTAAAAATTGTTCTTATTAAAGTTGGAGACCATGAAATGATGTGTCTTTCAGCTTCTCAAAATATATAGTTTAGGAAGCAATAGGTGTGAATGAAATTGAAAAATAATAAGACTCCAACAGTTTCATAAGAAGCAATTCAGGAAAAGCAGTCTAGGGGAATCAATTCCAGCAGTTTCAGAGAAAGTAACTAATCGTGATAAATTGGATATAGAAAAGAGATTTTCAAGAAACATTACCAGAAGCTTCAGAAGAAGTAGTTTAAGATTAAGAATATGAGCTTCAAGAATCAATATCAAAAGGTTCAGAAAGAAACAACTAAGCTTTTCCTTAGAAACCAAAGAAGAATAGAGAGAAGGAGCTATTTGACTAGAAGATTCTCTAGAAGCAGATCAGCTTAACCAAGAAAAATCAAGAAAAATAATCTTGAGAATCATTCATTAACTCATCTGTTAAGCCACAAAAAACGAATTTATATTTTTAATTTTACCATCAATTTTTCCCAACTACTACAAAATAGCATTGGTGTAAATGCCAAAATTGCAATAATATGCAAATTTTGAATACTTATTCAAGATAAAAATTGTAAATCGCAATGTATTTTGTAATAATATGGTAATCCAACTGTATAATATGTGCTAACAATTCTCACAGACAAGAAGTACTTACCTATTGATTTATCATTATTATTAGGCTTTAATAATAAATTTACATATTGATTAGTTTTTATTGAAATTGATGATAATGTGAATCTAGGCTACATAGTAGTTAATTAACCCTTAATATAACATAATTTCTCATAAGATCCAACCCTGTACACTTTTCTAACTAATAATCGAAATGTCAAGATCAATCTAGTATTACTTTTCCATGCACTATTATTAGTACCATCTCTGTTATTCGTAAAAGTTGATGGTCATTTTGTTACAAAGTGGCAAACATTTAATTATAATAATACTTAATATAATATCACAATTATTAATTCTCCTCTTCAGGATGTGCAGCGTTCCATTCCAAAGCTCTCATTACCGAAGCTGGTACTTCTGGTGCCACTGGTAAATCGTCACTGTTTGGTTGATATCCATTCTCATCGGCAACATATTGAAGAGTGTGAACAGTACCTTGAGGATCGTACCATTGAGCTACTCCTTGGACAGCTTGTCCTCCCTCAGCAAGTTGTTGTCCTACTTGCTGCTGACTGGAACCATCTGCAGATTCGTAGTTCCATTTGGAAGAACCGTCGGGTTCGATGACGGATTGTGAGGAAATTATTGGTACTGGTTCTTGAGCTAGGACAGCTACTAGGCAAGAGAGTAATGTGATTTTTGTGAACATTTTATTGTTGATCTGTGGGTTGCTACTGATGATTTCGCAGATGAAATTTTGGCTTTTATATTTCGATGTTTTAATTTAAATTAGTTGCCTAATTTAATTTAGGCAATATTTTAAAAACTGATTTGACCCAAATAAATTAAATTATGTTTTAATTTCAATATTTATTAGAATGAATAGAATAGAATAGAATAGAATAGTAGCTTTATTTCAAATTAAGTTTTTACAATACATATTACAGCATTACAAAATAACATGAAATGAAATGGCGTCACAAAACAATATACTTAAATTACATATCCAAGTAATCTTTCACACAATATGGTTCTATGTCTATTAACAATTTCTTGGTTTTATTTTTAAATTCCTTGTAGTTTTCTATTATTTTAAAGTCGTTTGGTAATTTATTAAATATTTTAATACAGTTATAAGATGGATTTTTTTCACTTAAAGTTAATCTATGAATAGGATAATAAATATCTGTGGTCCTTGTATTGTATGTGGTGTTAGTGTTATGTATTAAAAATTCATTTTTGTTTTTATGCAAATATAAGAGGCACTCGTGTATGTATAGACCATAAACTGTTAAAATACCCAACTCCCTGAATTTGCCTCTACAGGAGTCTCTGAAGCTCATGTTAAGCAATAACCTGATAGTTCGCTTTTGGACTACAAAGACTGATTGTGTTGAAGAACTGACTCCCCAGAAAATGATACCGTACCTCATCCGAGACTCAAAATTTGCATAGTAAAGGATTTTTTTAACTTTGTCTTCTACATATCTGTTTAGTACTCTGAGTGCAAAACAAACACCGTTCAATTTTTTCACTAAACTTTCAATGTGTGTTGACCATTTTAGAAATTCATCAATTATAACACCTAAAAATTTAGTGTGCTCTGATATGTCAATTTCCTGATTATGGATACTTATTGCTGATGGTTTCTCTTTTAGTTTATTAGTGCGAAAAATCACAATGCTTGTCTTGCTCTCGTTTATAACTAGTTCATTTTTCTCAAACCAATCCTCTGCTCGAGAATATAGCTCATTGCTTTTTTCTTCCAAGTCATGCCGATCCACTCCGGCGACCAGCAGATTGGTGTCATCCGCATAATTTGTTATTGCAGACTCTTCCAATCCGCTGCACACCGAGCTCAGATCGTTTATCATGACCAGGAATAGTATCGGCCCTAGTATGCTCCCCTGGGGTACTCCCACCTGATTTTGCAGCCATCCTGATCTAGATGAGTTATTGTTCCTATGAATTTCCACACATTGCCAGCGATCTGATAAGTATGAGGTCAGCCAACTCAGAGCTCTTCCCTTTATACCATAATTTTTTAGCTTTTCTTTTAAATAGTTTCTGTTTAGGCAGTCAAAAGCCTTTGATAAGTCGATGAATAGCCCAGCAGCTAATTTATTTTCTTCAAGAAATTTGAGTATATTATATGTAAATTGAAAAATTGCTGTATTTGTCGATTTACCCTTTAGATATGCATGTTGTGATGAACTAACCAGATTACATTCATTAAAAAAACTTAACAGTCTAAGGGACATTGCCATTTCAAAGATTTTTGAAAAGCTATTTAGCAAACTTATGGGTCTGTAATTTTCTAATTTTTCTGGATCTCCTGACTTAAAAATCGGTTTTATGAGAGTTACCTTTAGCTGGTTAGGAAAAATGCCAAATTTGAATGAATTATTTATAACATAACAAATAACTATCTTTATACTTGGAATGCTTAGTTTAACAATATTCACGGGAATTTCATCAATGCCACTACTTAGTTTATTTTTAAGTTTTTGAGATATTTCTATTATTTCTTCTGGGATAAAAGGTCTTATATATAAAGAAGCATTGTTTTTTATGTTGTCACAATTGAAATTTTTACTGTTCTTTATTAGATTTGGAATTAATTCGATTAGAAAGTTATTGTAATTATTGGCTATTGATTCAGGTGTCCCCCGGATTTGGCAGTTTGCATTTCTGGGAGAGTTGCCCTGAATGTCGTTGCATACTGTCCACATTGCTTTATTTTTATTATCTGATCTTATTTTGTTATTATAATGGTTTTTTCTCGATTCAACTAAGATTTTATCATAACTTTTTTTTTCAGCTTTGTACAATTCTTTAAAACTACTATCAGAATTGCTTAATCCTAACAATAAATCTAAATTTTGCTTACATGCTGCCAGTTCAGGGTTGCAATAAAACATCTTATTTTTCGATTTATGTCTTACAGTTTTTTTTTGGAAAGGTCTTAGACTTCGCATACATTTTTGTAAGAGTTTTAAGGAATGTGGAGTGAATTTTTGGATTTTTTTATCGCTCTTTTTTCAAAGATTTCGGCTAAATCATTGTATGGAGTTTCTGATAGATTTTCAGTGAATCTTATCGCAGTAAGGGAGTACAATTTCTGAAAATTTCAGCTCATTTAGACTTATAGTTTTAAAAATAAAATGTTAATGAATCCTGAAAATCTCAAGTCAATCTGATTCCTCAAAGTATTTTTCAGGATTTTTCAAAATTGATATAACATGAAACTGGTATCAAGTTGGGATAATTTTATTTCTGAGCCTCAAATTGACTTCGAATTTATCTTGTTTGATGAAAACATCCTGGTTAATAAATCCTGAGGGTTTCAAGTCGATCTGATACTTCCAAGTCTTTTTCTGGATTTTTCAAAGGTGATTTAACGTGAATTTTCCAACTTTTTTCTGGTATTAGGTTGGAAAAAACTTCATAATTTTATTTCTGAACCTCAAATTGACTTCAAATTTACCTTGTTTGATGAAAAGATCCTAGTTGATAAATCCTGAACTGATACTTCAAAGTATTTTTCAAGATGTTTCAAATGTGATTTAACGTGAATTTTCAAACTTTTTCTGGTAATGGGTTGGAAAAAACCTCATAATTTTATTTCTGAGCTTCAAATTGACTTCAAATTTACCTTGTTTGATGAAAAGATCCTGGTTAATGAATCCCGGAAGTTTTAAATCGATCTGATACTCGAAAGTATTTTTCAGAATTTTTCAAAGTTGATTTGACGTGAATTTTCCAACCTTTTTTTGGTATTAAGTTGGAAAAAACCTCATAATTTTATTTCTGAGCCTCGAATTGACTTCAAATTTACCTTGCTTAATGGAAAGATCCTACTTAATAAATCTTGAAAATTTGAAATCGATCTGACACTCAGAAGTATTTTTCAGGATTTTTCAAATGTGATTTAACGTGAACTTTTTCTGGTAATAAGTTGGAAAAAATCACATAATTTTATTTCTGAGCATCAAATTGACTTCAAATTTACCTTGTTTGATAAAAAAAAGTCTTGGTTAACGACCCCTAAAAGTTTCAAGTCGATCTGATACTCGGAAACATTTTTCAGGATGTTTTAAAGGTGATTTAACGTAAATTTTCCCATCTTTTTCTGGTATTGAGTTGGAAAAAACATGATAATTTTATTTCTGAGCTCCAGATTAACTTCTTTTTAAAGAAAATATCCTAATTAATAAATCCTGAAAGTTCGGAATCGATCTGATATTGCGAAGTATTTTTCAGGATTTTTCAAAGGTGATTTAACGTGAATTTTCCAACTTTTTCTGGTATTAAGTTAGAAAAAACCTCATAATTTTATTTCTGAGCTTCAGATTGACTTCAAATTTGCCTTGTTTGATGTAAACATCCTGGTTAGTAAATTCTAAAAGTTTGAAATTGATCTGATACTCCGTAGTATTTTTTAGGATTTTTCAAAGGTGATTTGACGTGAATTTTCCAACTTTTTCTGGGATTAAGCTGGAAAAAACCTCATAATTTTATTTCTGAGCCTCAAATTGACTTCAAATTTACCTTGTTTGATGAAAACATCCTGGTTAATAGATCCTGAAAATTTGAAATTAATTTGTAACTCCGAACTATTTTTCAGAGTTTTTCAAGTGTGATTTACCGTGAATTTTTTAACTTTTTCTGGTATTAAGTTGGAAAAATCCTCATAATTTTATTTCTGAGCTTCAGATTGACTTAAAATTTGCCTCGTTTGATGAAAACATCCTGGTTAATGAATCCTGAGAGTTTCAAGTTGATCTGATACTCCAAAGTATTTTTCAGGTTCGTGAGAAATTCACTCATTGATAAAAACAATTCTGTCCAGAAAATTAATTGAATTTTGAACTAATGAGCAAAAAGTACATTTCATTTTGAACCTCTCATCGTACTGATATAAAACTGAGGAGTTTTGAACTACGGAATCCCATATCTATGCTTGTACACTATAATTACAAATTCCAAGGTGGTTTACCCCTCGTTTTAGTACCTATACCACAAGTGAAATCTACCTAATGTTAAAGTAATCCAGTTGCCCAGTGACTACAGCGAGATCCAAAAAAGATGCACCATGGTGGAACAGACACCTGTCAAAACTGAGATTTCAAGTACGTCATCTTTTCAATACAGCAAAAAGTGACGGAAATTGGCAGGGATACGCAGAAGTGCTTACTCTGTATAACAAAGAGATAAGAAAAGCCAAAAGGCAACATTTCAGAACCTTTTGTGAGGAAATTGCTGACACTTCAACGGCTTCAAGGCTACATAAGGCCATGGCCAAATAAGTAACAAATCCAGTGATGGCCCTCAAAAAGCCGGACGGAAGGAGAAGGCCATCCTTCAAACGCATTTTCCAGGTAGCGTACCAGTAGAAATAACCACGGTAGTCGACACCAGTAAACCGAAGAAGGAGGACTGGGATGCTGCAAAGAGGGTTTTTACTGCGGAACGGATGAAATGGGCAATAAGTACCTTTCAACCGTTTAAGTCACCAGGAGTGGACGGAATATTTCCTGCCCTTTTACAAAAAGGGCAAAAGGAAATATTCCCACACCTACTTAGAATAGCTAGGACTAGTTTAGCCTCGGGATGTATACCGAGTATCTGGCGACGAAGTAACCTTCATACCCAAAATAGGAAAAAAGGATGGGACAAACCCTAAATCTTTTCGACCTATTAGTCTTACGTCTTTGTACTAAAGACGATAGAAAAAGCTGTAGATACCTACATCAGAACGGAAATTTTGGAGAAGGCATCTCTACACTTGTGCCAACATGCATACAGAGCAGACAGATCGACTAACAACTTACAGAAATCATCCAAAAAATCCTTAAGGAAAAAGAAACAGCCATATATGCCTTCCTGGATATATCCGGGGCTTTTGATAACACGTCCCATGGGGCGGTAAAAATTGCTCTGGAGAGGAGAGGAGTGAATAAAACCATAGTCCGGTGGGTCTGTGAAATGCTGACTACGAGAATAACTGAGACAACTGTGGGTGAACAAACCACAAGCATCAGAACCACTCGTGGTACACCTCAAGGGGGAGTAACCTCACCCCTGTTGTGGAGCCTGGTAGTTGATGAACTCCTGTCCAGACTGATAAATCAGGGTCTAACCTGTATATGTTACGCCGATGATATTGTCATTATTGCCAAAGGCAAGTTTGAGGGCACACTATACTACCTCATACAAAAAGGCCTAAGTACTACCGAAGAATGGTGCACATCGGTGGGGCTGAGCATCAACTCAGCAAAAACCACTATTGTACCATTTACACGTAGAAGGAAAATTCAACTTACTAGGAAATTCACCTAAGTGGAGAGGTTGTAAATCAAGCAAACGAAGTCAAATACCTGGGCGTAACACTGGATAGTAAACTTCTATGGAAAAAACACCTAGGAGCTATTGTTAACGAAGCTACTAAAGCCATTATGGTGTGCAGAAACTTGGCGGGTAAAAACTGGGGATTTACTCCAAAAATACTGCGGTGGATGTATATTATGATGGTAAAACCCATAATCACATATGGGGCAGCAGTTTGGTATGGCATAGCAGAACAAAGCACTACAAGGCGGGCACTTGATAAATTGCAAAGACTGGCAAGTGTATGTATTACAGGAGCCATGAGAACATGTCCAACAGCAGCGTTGAACGTCATACTTGACGTCACACCTTTGCACTTGTCGGTGAAGGGAGCTGCAGAAAGGGCTATGTTTAGACTAGCTAGGAATAGGACCAAGGCTAAGGACATCATCGATCAAGGAGCATGGTCATCCCAGACACGGTGTATTCCCTTATTCCATCTTCCTAAAGACGATATAACCATTTGAGAGAAACTTCCTCACAAGGATAGATAATAAAAGCGACTGGGAAAGCGGCAAGATCACCGAATCTCTCAAAGAAAACACCATTAAATGGTACACAGACGACAAAGGATCAGGAGCTGGAGTATTTGAGCCTCGCACCAAATATTTTGAGTCACTGGGTCATCAGTGTCAGGCGAAATTACACGCCATTGACAGATGTGCTCAAATGATCCTGAACAGGAACTATCTCAAGCAAGATATTGCAATAATCACCGACAGTCAATCGGCCATAATGGCACTGAATTCATATGTCATCAGTTCTAAGATAGTACGGGATTGCCTAGGGAAACTAAATGAGGTAGGGAAGAAAAATAAAGTCACTTTACTATGGGTGCCTGGACACACAGAAGTGGAAGGTAACGAAGAAGCCAATACCTTGGCAAAGAAAGGATTCGATTCCTCGTTTGTAGGACCGGAGCCTTTTTGCAGTATAGGTAAAAACACTTATACAGCGGAGCTTAAGAAAATGGAAGACGACTTAAGAGCTCGCCTCTGGGACGACCTTGCGGGACTGAGACACTCTAAGAAATTCCTTGGAAACTTCAATTCCAAAAAATCTAAAGCTCTAGTAAATTTAAGTAAAACTAAACTAAGAATTCTTACAGGGTTTATGACAGGGCACTGCCACCTTCGAGAACACCGCAGGAATATTCAAAATGTTTTCTTCTACTTATATAATTCTCCACCTTTTTTTTTTCTCCAATGGCATTTCGCTCCCAAAGCCATAAAAATTCTTGAAGAATTTTGTCGTTTTTATTTTTATCTTCGTTAATTATGCGATTCTTCTTCGTTTCTCTCATCGAATCGAAGAATCGGAAAGTATTCAGTTTCAAATGTGAAGGTTGTTCAAACATGAGTTTTAAATTAATTGATTTTGCAACAAATAAAATTATTGTTTTTTTAATTGTCGTTCTATTACATTTCATCCCCGATTGTCGAATTTATATTGTTTTTAAAACACATCTCAGCTTGGAATAGATTTATCAGAAAAATCATAGGGACAAAATTACTCAGATATGCCATTATTATGTCGGTAGTGTTTAAATCATTTTCCTTGAATAAAGTATTGACAGTAATAAGGATATAAATCAATTATAAATGAATAATAATAAAGTTATAAATAACGTTAGAATGCGCATTAATATCATCGGCTGTAAAAAAATACAATTTTGAGATTAATGGGTTTGAACTTTAAATAATGATAAATGCATCTTATATGGAGGAAAGTGAATACTTGTTTTTTACATAGGTACATCCTTAAAAAAAAAGACTGGAGTAAAATAATGAGGAATCTTTCAATTATCCATAAGATTGAAGTTCGCAAGTACTAGTAATATTAGCCATATAGAAAATCTTAAATCATGATTCTTAATACAAAACATCATATGTGTCCAGTTACAAGTCGCCATAAGAACTGGTAGCACTGATCGGTTCGTAACCCGTTAGCCTATGGTGTCTTCGGTAGTAACCGAGATCAGTGAAAGTGGACTGTGATTTACGATCAGCGTCCTTGCGATGAAGCCACGCTACAACCTTGACCGCTAAATGGTACTATATAATGTCCACTTGGATGGCGTAACCGATTACCGCATTTTTAACAGAAGAAGAACTCACCAGAACAGGAACGTATTTGCCACAATTTTATTAAGGTAATTTTTAGGCAAATTTGACGTTTCATAGGTACCAAAAAGTCATTATTGTGCCAATTTTCCTTCATTCTCTATACATCAAAAATGTCTAACAAAAGACGCTTATATTTCTCAGTACTATCAGATCGATCTGAATCATCAGTACTATCGCTCAAACAAGACAAACCGATTTCTTCTCACCACATATTGCAGTGCGATGTAAAACCCGAATCAACATACATACCGTTTCAAACTTACATCCAGAGCAGGTGGGCGAAATTTGCCGAGCCTCACGTGTGCTCACTGATAGAAAGGGTCAAAGACGTCGATATACTGAAAGAAGTGATCGGTATTGGGGCCTGGATCACGTTCAGACGATGGTTGAAGACGAAATTGATGATAAACCGGAAGCATCCGTTTACCAAGCGAGTTTTCAAGTCGCAGTCGGACGTTATGAGCGAGGAAGTCAGACATTTATTGAACTATCCGCATATGATTCATCCGTTTAGTACTTTTTGGTAAGAAGAGGTGTTTATGAAACCAAAATGATTCATAACTCAAAAACTCATGCATAGATTTGAGTGTTGTTGTTTGCTTTCTGTGTTCTGAGTTAGTATGAAGCTCTCCAAAGTAATTTCAATAATCAACAAGCTCAAATACTCTTCAGCCATGATGTACGAACTTTTTTTTTCAGTTTGTATTGGAATTTCCTGTTTGGTCTCCTCACTCTCATATACATTTTTCATATCCTACCCAACGAACTCCATTATATAATGTGTACAAAATCGCTGATGTACCAAAAAATCGTTATGGATTTATTCATGACATGCAACATAATTGTCCATTTCTGGGAAGGCTATTGGGACACTGAACGCATGTTTATCGAGATGAAACGAAAACACGTCGCCGTGTAACTAATGTTTTCTTATACATAAATAACCATTAATTATTATTTTTCAGTAATTATTTCAGGACTCACTTTGTTTGGGATGTAATATCGTGTATTCCTTCCTGTTACTATGTAATACTTCTTATCGTACCGGTGTTTAGTCATCCTTATTTGAGACTAGTTAAATGGTTGAGTTTGCTAAGACTTACTCGAGCTATTAGTGTTAGCCAATCCGTGGACATTTTTCGAAGGGTAATCTTCCTTACTAGACCCATTTAGTTTTTTTAATTGGTATTTTTTAGTACTTTGCCATTCCAGTGGAAATACAAGTCACTTTGGAAATAGTTTTCAGATCGGGCTTTGTGATAATAGCCTGTATGGCTTCGATGGCTTTTCTAAAACAATACCGTTACCTATTTGAACACATATCGGTAAGTATATTTAGCATATTTTTCCTACAAAGCAGATTAACTTTTATGGATAGTTCCAAAAAAACCAGACGCCTCCGGAAAAATAAAATCGCGGATAGTAGTGGTTTATAGAAAAGTAAACGAGAAAACTATCGACGATATTCCAATTCCCAATCCCAAACATAACAGACATTTTGGACAAACTTACGGTAGATGCCAGTCCTGCACGACCTTGGATGTGGCAAGTGGCTTCCACCAAATTGAAATGGCTAAAGAAGATATACGCAAAACTGCGTTCAATGTCGGAAATGGCCATTACGAGTATGTCCGGATGCCGTTTGGACTAAAAAACGCTCCAGCTACATTCCAAAAGGTAATGGATAACGTTCTGAAAGAACACCAAGGCAAAAATTGCTTAGTGTACATGGACGATATCATTATGTTCAGAGCAGCTGGTTTATTTTTTAAAATTTTTTCAACGTCTCAGAGAAACTGGATTCAAAATTCAAATGGACAAATGCGAGTTCCTAAAAAAGGAAGTTGCTTTTCTTGGACATATTGTTACACCAGAAGGAATAAGACCAAATCCGGTTAGAATTAAAGCCATACTTGACTATCCAATACCGCGAATCACGTAGAAAAATCCGAGAATTTCTAGGCCTCCTTGGATATTGCAGGAAGTTTATCAGGGACTTCACTAAAATTACTAAACCTCTAACTTCCTGCCTCAGAAAGAACGCTAAAATAGAACTGACACCAGAATTTTTGAACTACATTAGAACTTGCAAAAATTTACTGACAAATCGAACTCTTCTGCAATATCCAGACTTCAGCAGGTCTTTCAATCTAACTACTCATGCTAGCAACTATGTAATTGGAGCTATACTATCCCAAGGACCAATTGGCAGCGATAAGCCCATTGCATACGCCTCCAGGACACTAAACGAAACCTAGTTGAAATATTCCACCATTGAAAAGGAAATGTTAGCCATAATCTGGGCTACCAAAAACTTCAGACCCTACTTGTTTTGGAGAAAGTTTAAGATACATTCAGATCACCGTCTTCTCTAATGGCTTTTTTCCAAAATAGTTAGATGGCGTTTATAGCTGGAAGTTTGATTATGGAGATAATCTATGAGAAAGGAAAATCGAACACCAATGCAGATGATCAGTCCAGAGTCGAAATCCATACCAAAGAAATAGCCCAACCACCACAAGACGAAGATAACACATCTTTGTACAATAATGCAGAATCAATCCTCGACATAGACGCAAAGTTCTAGAGAAACCCGCTTTGCAAGCGAAGATACAAAAGGTCATCAGTGAAATTCTTGATAATTCAGAACCGACACAAGCCGGCCCGGAAGAAGATAACGAAACTAGACACACTGTTCAGGAAGAACCTATACTCGGCATTCCAATTAGCGAAAGAGCCCTTAACTACTACAATAACCAAATTGTACTCAAGTCTGTTAATTATAAACCAGCAAAGCCGATAATAGAAGTAGCCTTCCCTAACAAATCCAGGCTACATGTCCAAGTAAACAAGAATAACTTAGAAGGAAGCACAATAAAGCTTCTTAAAGAAAAAATAGACCCCAAAAAGAAGTAATCAAGATTCTTTATGTTCCTCTATGCAACATTCTTGAAGAAACTTTTAAAAATCCTGCATTTGACTTTATCAAATGCAATTTTCTCCTAGAAGACATCAATAGCAAGGAAAGACAAAATGAGATAATGCAGGCCTACCATCAAGGAAAAACAAATTATTGAGGAATTAACGAAGCCAGAGCGCAAATTCGAAGGAATATTACTGATGGCCTAACCTCAAACGAGATATTGAAAATATCATAAATGTTTGCAATACCAGTCAGTTAAACAAATACGATAGGAACCCAGCCAAACCTAAATTCATGATTACTCCAACATCGATTGAAAGTATTATTCATTTAGATATCTTTCAAGCCGGAGGGCAAAAGTTTTCAACTATTATTGATTCCCTCTCCAAATATGGACAAGCCTACGCCATAGCTTAGAGGGATCAAATTCAGTGAATGTTCTTAATGCCCTCCTAATCTCCATCATGGAATACCACACATAATAGTTACCGATAGTGCAACAGAATTTAAGAATGGTCTTATACAGGAATTTGTAGATACACATGAGATATCCATTCATTATACTACCCCTGATAACCCACAATCCAACGAAATGATAGAAAGATTCCACTCCACCATTATCGAACACCTGAGGATACTTCAAGAAAATAAAAAATCCTTAAGCGTTATTAAAGAACAAATGCCATATGCACTTCTCGGATACAATAATTCTATGCATTCAATGACAAACATGCGACCAATGGATATATTAACTGGTTACCTGGATGCGCAGGATCCGTCAGGAAAACACTTATAAATAATTATAGCAAGCAACACAAGGAAAAAACGGAGAATATCTACAGGAAATTGAATCAAAAGCTACATGAATCCGGAAAAAAGTACATAGGAAAAATAAACATAACCAGGCAAACCCCCCTCACCTACAAACCCAGCACGAAGATCTACATCAGAAAAACTGGAAAGCGGAACAAACTCCTTCCAATATTCCCTCCCAAGACAGTTAACACTGAGAATATTGTGACCATTGACACTCAAGACACGACAATACATAAAAAGAATATTTAAAATATTTCAGGAAATAACTCTAGGACCTGAAGGACAACCCAGGAATACTTCCCCTCAACCTAGGACGAGCAAGGATTCATAGTAATACCCACGACTTCATTCACTTTTTTGACCTCTTCCCAGTAATTGAGGAACTTCAGTCTCTGGAAGAACAATACGAATCAGTAAAAACAACAATAGAAAATGGATTGCGTCACCAATACTTCAAAAGCCTGCAAAAGTTTACAGTTTCTGTTAAAAGCCGCCAAAGAAAAACTTCGTACTATCATACCTATACAAAGATACAGAAGAGGAATTTTCAATGGTCTCGGTAGTGTTATTAAAACCATATCTGGAAATGGGTGTTCTTAAAAAGCCCTTTAATAAAAATAAATATTTTCGGGGATAATACCACGAGAGCTTCAAAATTACCGATAATTTTTCACGATTGCGTGTTTTCTATAATTTCACGAGTCCTTAGGACGAGTGAAATTTGCAGAGAAAACACGCATGAGTGAAAAATTGTCTGGTTCATTTTAAAGCTCAAGTGGTATTTAGAGGATTATTTCACGCATGAGAATGCAAAAAATATGGATATAAATATGTATTAAACGATTTGAACATCTTAACAATCAATACAAATAAATGGTTGCTATCAGGAACCATTTGTTTGTATCAAAAATTAGCATGACAACCATGTATACAATAACATGGGAGAATTTTCCCTGTAATTCTCTCTAGTTAAACAAATGGAAAAGAGAATTTTCGCTGTAATTCTGAAAATCGTCACTTGGGATTTCTAACACATGAGTGGAATAATCAATGATATTCGGTGGTATTCCGGATATATGGGGTCATTAATCCGTAATTCGCAACACACATATTAATTCTTCAGAGAATATCAAATTCTCCAAATACTCCATAGAGACTTTAATGCGAAGGAGTAAACTTAACGCGAAACAAATTATATGATGAACTTTCTCAACAAAAATCGTCTCTACAGAAAAATGGACCTGGAAGAGTGTAAAGTTGAAGAAATATGGAAAAGAAATTACAACCAATCAAATAATCAAGCTCTCAACCAAAATTACCAGTAGAATATTTTTGTTAAAGCTTATTTCTCTTGTCTTCGTCTGAATTTTTGTCGATTCCTGGATGTTGAATCTTCAATATTTCCTAAGCTTTTTTAAATAGAGAAAATTCAAAAAAGAAGACAAAATATGAGGGCCTGGAATAGACAAAACTATTTCTCAATGTCTTTGTCTCAATTTTTGGCTCTTCAATCTTCAATATTTGCTAAGCTTCTTCAAATAAGGAAAATTCAGAAAATTAGACAAGATATGAGAGCCTGGAATAGACAAAACTCAGTATTTCAGTCTAACAGGTATGATTGACACGTTAAAGTGTGCATAAAGCATATACAGGGTGACAATTTGAAAACCAGCAATCGGGAATATCCTTCGTACGATTAGTTATTGACATATCGTTGTTTTAAAATAAAACAACCAACAACCAAATGTGTTTATTGCCTAACCCCTACCCCTCCTGTCTTGGAGGCTTGCCCCCTAATGATTTTTCTAAAATAAGAAAGTTCCCCGTGTGATATCATATCTCCCTTGAAAAGTTTTCTATTCCTCTTTAGAGGCGTGATCATTTCATTTCAGCTACAATACATACATACTACAACATTAAGGAGTTTAAGGACGTATATAAGGGGGGGTTTTGGCGGTTCAAACCCCCCCCTCCCCCCCATTGAACTGAATAATTTTTTTTTTAATAAAAATAAACGTTTTTGGGCGTGGAATCCGAAAATTTTTTTCGCCTTCGGCGATATCCTCCGGCGACTATGCCACTGTAGGGTTGTCGTCAGCTCTCCGGGGTTCACCCGGAGTCTACGGGTTTTCACATATGGTCTCCGGGCTACGGATTACTAGGTGTTTTCTCCGGGTTACCAACAGCGCAATCCTGTTTCTGCCGGAAAAATTCTCCAAAACGCACGCGTCGTCGTTACCGTCTCCCTCAAGGATAATATACACTACTACAGGATTACTCATCGGCCTTGATTTTTGGAATTAAAGTCATATGGTGTTGCACCGTTGATGACATCATCAACGGTGTCGCTATCTGTTTGCGCCAACGGTCGTAGTTTAGAATATACATTTATGATGAAAAATATTATTTAATTTTGATTAACATAATAGGCAGCGAGGAAGATGCAGACGAGATCTGAAAAGGGTTCTTTTAGAATGTTAATTAGGCATTCCAGATCACGTGACTTTCGACATACAAAATGGCCGGTCAATGGCACACAAATACCCATTGAACTATAGGGGACAGATGGAATTTTAATTTAATTTA